CCCTGGGCGGCGCCTGCCGTCCCTCCCTGCTGAAATGCTGGATAGCTACCCGGCCCTCTCCCCCCGGCGGGCCATGATCGAAAGCGACCCCCCCTTCGCCATGTCCGGCCTCGTCAGGAACCCGGGACCGGCCCGCCGGCCCTCCCCGCAGGACTACAGGTGAGCGCCCCCCGCCCCCGTTCTCGCCCCTGGAGTCCGGGCTGCCCTCGGGGCTTGGCAGAGGCTTCCACTCGGCGCAGCCTTCGCGCAGGAAAAGTCCGAAGGCTCGAAGGCTGCATTTGCACGCCGTCCTGGAGCCACGAATGGCCTGCACCCCCAGCCTGCCTCGGTCGGTGCCCAAGTTCCTTGTTGCAGCAGGAGAAGCTGCTCCCGATTCATCCCAAACTCCGATTTCCTCCTCAAGTCTATTGTGCATTCAAAGGCCTTCATAGGACCTCCTGGAATATTTGCCGAGGGGCTCACTGAAGGAGAAGCGGGACTCCCCAAAGAGCACCTGCTCCAGTCCGGCCCTTTTCAGAGGGGCCCGGAAATTGTCTTTCTCTCGTCCTCGTCCCATCCCTCCGAAAAAGGGGCTCTCCCTGCGTTGTCTGGAATGAAACCCCCTCCCCTTTCTGAACCCAACTCCATTTGGGATGCCGACCGGTGGGAAGCCACTATCAGCAGCCACAACCACGGGGTGGGGGAGGGGGGGGACCCGGGCCAGCTCCCCCTCTGGGAATCCAGGCTTGGCACTTGGGGGAGATGGTGCGGTCTGCCCCCTCTCTCCCAGAAGGGGGAGGCCTCGTGCTTCTGGGGCGCCCCAGCAATAACTTAGCAGGGAGATATGGAGAGATGGTGCTGATGATGAGTCTTCCCAAGTTTGGAAGTCCGGTCTGATTTGAACACAGTTCCACCCTCCGGGAAGTCCAAGACTGTGGTTTAGGGGTCCTTCTGGAGAATCAGGGGCCTACTTTGACCCCGATCCCCTTTGTTCTGCTTAGACCTGGTGTGCAGAGTCACAAGGATCCACCATCTTTTTAGACTACTGCAGCATAATCTATCGGGGTTGACCTTGAAGGCTGTCTTAGAAGCCACAGGCGGTTCAAACAGCCACCTGTGTTTAGTCTGGCTGAAAGTCTTCTTGTACTATAAAGTCAGAAGCTGCCAACCTGATCTGAGTTCCACTTGGGCCGTTCTTTACGAAACCTTCGTGATTTAAGATCAGGATGCCTGAAAAGCCACCTTCTTCCCATTGGTCCCTCCAGGTGCAAATCCAAGGGAGAAACCTCTCACTAGAAGCTCCAATTCAATCCGCTTGGCTCTGGAGTTGCTTTAAAGATATTCCTCCTCACCCTCTAAAGTTTCAAAACAGTTTCTTCCATTTGTAACTTTTCTGTCTTGCAAACATGGATAAAGAGGCCACACTAGATTGGGGGAAGCCTTGTCCAGATTTCACAGTCTTTTCCCCCCTCTAAAAACAACCGCATCGCACTGACACAATGTGGGAGGGGGGAGAATTAACTGTTTGCTCCAGCATGGCCCCGTTTTGAAGCCGCTCTGGTAGATGTCAGGGGAACAAGAGGGATTTAGAGCCGGCAGACTCAAGACCCCCATCTACCTGATCTGAAATCTTCCCATCGCAAGAGGTCCAACCCCCCCAAAGCGGTCATGGCAACAGTATCCACCATTACACACAGAGATCTTCCACAGTGAACTTATGCAGACTGCCCTTAACAATTCCTTCCCTTTTGTACAGAAATCCCATTTGCTAAGTGCAGGTTGTAAATTATCTGCACTTGCCAAATTTGATAAGAATAGTTTTTGGAAGAATAAATGGAATTTGAAAATTACGTGGGCAAGAATTTTTAATTCTTAGCATAAGGAACGTGAATAACTTTGCTTAGATCAAATATGCAGTCCTTCGGCAGATTAAGTCTAAGTTATTTCTAAGTAAAAAAAGACACGTATAGTTTAGTTTATGTAGAGTTTCAGGCAGTCTTTAACAAGTCACGTTAGTTATTGCAAAAATGCTTATTTCTATAAATAGACCCGTTTCCCAAATTCTTGTTCCTCCCCCCCCCATCTCAAAAATAAAGCTGTAATTTCTCACCGCGGTCATTTTTCCACCCCTGAATTGCATGACCCCGTTTAAAAGTGGCAAAAAATGTATACAAAATCCAGACCGTTATGGCCAAAGTGCGCTGTAGCATTTGTTCTGTTTCATGAGAAACCACTTTGGATTATGTAAAAGAAAATCTTCCAGACTGACCGATTTTTAAGAAGAGAATAGGCCTGTCAAATTCTATCAGGTCAATTTACTTTCTTCCTGTCAGCACAGTGCAGGACGGGAACCCGAGGTCCCGAGTGCTCCACGGGCGGGCGGGGGGGGCATAAAGGAATGGCCCCCAATTAGCGGAAGGGAGGGGTAATTGTGCCGAGAATAAGCTTCTGTTTCACTTGGGACATTTCTATGGGGCTGGGAGACATGAAGGGAAGCGGATTTCAAAGTCAGGGTTAAAAAACAGAAGCAGAAAAGCCACCGAGAGGAAGGAGAGAGAGAAGCAGATCAGCTCTTGGCCAGGGTAGACTAAGAGCGACTCAGTTGATCAGAGTTGGGATGCTGCAGAATTGGTAACTCTGCAGTTGTTCTGGAACATTCTAAGGAGAATCCTTCTGAATCCAAGTGAAATGGAGGTGGAAGCAAACACCACTTCTCTAGTTGATGGCCAGAGGCAGAGTCCAGCCAGGCTCGTTGTTATATCTCGCTTAAATTTTAGCAATCCTTGCGTTCTTCCTCATAAGGGTAGGCCTGTTGCATTTTTTCTCCTGCACGTTATCAAACGGCCTGAGGAGCCATGCTGGGGCGTTCGTATGGGTGCGAGTCCAATTTTGCTAGGGTAATCTGCTCCAAAGGTCCCTATGCAGCCCATCGGAGATTCCTGGAGGATTTGAGACTCCAGTTTGAGATCTCTCTTGACCACAATGGGACAAATCAAAACGTGGGAAGACGAGGGATTAAAGAGCCTATGTTCCAGGGAGTCCTAGCAAAGAGAATGGACTGGGGATAATCTCCGTCAAGAGTGGGCTGCCAGGTGAGAAAACGGAGGGACCCTCAAAAGGAAACGCCACCGGAACCGAGCCTTTTAATTCAGCCAAGGATTGTAATCCCTCCGTGGCCTGAAAGGCTATGCTGGCCTGCTTTGAGGGGAACCGCCTGTCCCTCTCCAGCATTCAGAAGCAGCTAAGAAGCGCAGTTCAGCCAGCTCCGCCGGAGGCTGCTCTGGATGGCTTGGTTGGGGTCGGGGCTTGAGATGGTCCCTCTGCCCAGCCAAAAGCACAGCACCATTACCTGCCCGTGGAAAAGTTAGAGGCAAGGCTGCGGCTGAGCACTGAATAAGTGACCCGAGCACAATCCTTCTTAATCTACCACTTATCAGGAAAAGGCTGTCCGTCTCTAACTGGAGTGTGAGGATAAATGGAGAATACAAGCATTTTAGATTTAAAAACGCATTCCTTAACACAAGGTGCTCTCATCCTCCAAAAGGCTCTCTCTCTCTCTCTGTGTGTGTGTGTGTGTGTGTGTGTGTAAAGCTAAAGTGACCATTCACCTGCAGCAAATTCAGAAATAGGCGCACCACCACTCGGGCTCATCGGCCGGTTTCAACTGATGGACCTGGCAAGCAGACTTCTCTGCCGACTCCCCCCCACCCTCCCACCCTCGGGAGGGCTCCCTTAGCAGGACAGAATGAAGAGGCAGGGATCGGCTGTCAACAGGCAGGCAAACGGTCCCAAATCTCTTGGGGTAAATAATCAGAGCAAGAAATCTCCCAGGGAGAGAAATAACCCATCCATTCCATTTCCATAATTCTATGGGGAAATCTGATAAAGTCTGCTAATCAGGCTCACAATTGATTTAAATGAGTGTCAGGAGAGACGGCTATTGCTGTGTCAGGAAAGAATCCGCGGAAATTCTTAGGAACAGCCCTCCTCAAAATGGGATTATTTTCTCAAGGGCAGCATTAAGACGCCGAGCTGCTCCAAAGCCCAATCTTTTCCTATACATACCGAGCTCCAGAGAATTAAGACAAATAATGAAGGGCCATTTTAAAGGAGGAAGCTAGTTTGTAAAGAAGAGGAGTATTTGTTTTCCAGAGTCATATTTTCAACATCCAGCTAACTCCACAAGGGTGCCACTTGGTGGAAGATGTGGCACAGGGCACAGATGCCAGGACATTTGCTAGGGAAAAGGGTGCGATTCTCTCTCTCTCTTTGCCACATACCAGGTGCCCAGAGGTGTGGTGAATACTGACAACAAGCTCTTGAGGCTGCAGCCAGGCACCTAACCAGGGACTGAAGCTGCCGGGTGCATTTCAGCTTCCACCCAGGAAGGTGCCAAAGCACACCGGACGGTGGGGGCCTGTGGTGCACGTGGTCCCTGGCAGGAGGCCATTGCTGTGGGTTTCGACCCTTCCCGCCCCCTTGACCCCACTCGTTTGTTGTGCGGGGCTGGAGAGCGGCAGATGGCACGGGTGGAGTGTCTCCCATCATTCAGGCAGATTAATGGGGAACTGGTAAAAAGGGGGAGGGAGGCGGGGTGGGCAGAAGAAAACAATTAAGCCAGGATCTCCAAAAACAAAGGGTCGCCACGTGCCGGCAGCCAACAGCCTCTCCCCACACAATGGCTTATGGGCTGACAATGCGCAGGGCCACCAACTGTTGCAAATGACAAGGGTTGTTCCCCGTTTTTGAACCCTCTGATGCTGGTGTTTACTTACAGTTGGACCAATGGCCGGGCAGGCAGACTGGTCACCTGATGTCCTTTTGCAGGCATGGAAGGGACTCGACTGGCTCTGCAAAATAACTGTAGAAGTGTAACCATGGCAATGTTGGTTATTGCCACATCAATACATGACATTAAAAAGAAAACAGGCCCCGGAGGAGGGTGGCAGGAGGACAGGCGGGTCTAGCCAGGATACCGGGCGCCTGCTGCTATAACAGCGATCGGTCTTGTAGTCCCTTAAGCCTCCGAGAAGGGAGGGAAACTGCCCAGAAGTTTTCAACTGGGAAGTTTTGCTTTGCAGCTAGATGGTTGGAGACAGCATTTCAAAGCCTTGGGAAATGCAAAGAAGGCATTGTAATATTCCAGATTCGTTTTAAATCCTTCTCATTATTTTAAATTATTTATTTCTGGCATTGCTGTGTTGTGCAACTCCAGCAGGCTCCGAGCGCCACATGAACCTGGAGTTAACATGACTTTGGTGGAGAAGAAACAGGAGTCTTAGAAACAACCTGCAAAATTCGGCTTTATTCTCAAGCCGAATTTGGTGCATGGTGTTCTAACTTTAGGCCTTTTAAGTATTCTCCTTCTCTGCACGATAGGAAAGTTTTTCTCCTCCTTCATAAATTTGCTTTATGAACGAGAGCCCCATACAACGGAGCCTGCTGGCAGCTGGAATAAAAACATAAAGTCAGAACAGGTGCTGCTGTTGCCGCCTTACCTTCAGGCTAACAGGCCAGGGCAACGCAGCCACTAAAACCACGTTATTCCTCCGTAGACTGTTGGGCTCTGACCCCTCACATCTGAGCGAGGATGACTTCCCTGGCGACTTGCAGTCCCTTTCGTGGCTGACCTCCGTGGACGTCCCTCGGCTGCAGCAGATGACCAGCGAAAGGATGGATTTTGGCATCGCTTCCCAGAATGTGGCCCTGCAGCAGACAGGTAGAAAACTCTGTGACCCTTTCGTTCTCGGGCCCCCGGGGCATTGACCCCACAGTGCTGCGATACCTAGTGGCTAAAACACAAAGAACAAGTGAACTGTGTAAAACCAGCACTGACTTGGGTCTAATAAGCCCCGTTGTGATGATCAGTGGCTATGGAAGCCTGTGGATCCCACAGAGAGCTGGGGGGGGGGGAATTCAGAGCAGCCCAGAACTGTATCATCTGCTTCTTTTCGATGACAGGTGCCATGCACACCTTGGGGCCCCCAAGAGCGACGCCTCACATACAAGCCAGCGTGTCTCCAAATATTCTGGGACTCAACACCATCTCGCCCCACGAAAGCGACGTAAGAACAGGCTCCCTTCCTTGTTAATGGCCCCAGGGCTGTTTCATGCCCTGCGCAACTGATGCTTTTGTTTCTCCCCCTTCCACCCCAGATCAGTCAGTACGTGGTGGGGGGGCAGCCGTCCCCCAGCCTTCAGCCGCAGCCGTCCCCGCTCTTCCCCCCTCCCTCCTGCCACACCCAGCAGATCTTCACCATCACGCACAGCACGCAGCAGGTACGGTTCCCAGCTTCGTGTGTGTGTGTGTGTGTGTGTGTGTGACAGCACAACCTTCAGGGACCTCGCCACAACTTAGTTGCTGTCCTGTGTGAACGTCTACAAGGCTGCAGGTACTGCTGTGCATGTGTGCTTGTAGCAGAACATCTGAGAAGACCCAGGCAGTGCAAGGAAAAGCCTTTCATCTGTGGGCAAAAGGGCCCAAAGGTGAAGGAGGGCGGGTGGGCACCTGAAGGCCAGTCTCCTAGCGGGTCTTCCCTCTCTCGTCTCTGCAACCAGCAAGGAGGACGCTGAGCCAGGGTGTCGGTTGCCACAGAGGCCCCCGGCCTTTGGTTTGGGCTGCTCTCCACCGGCTGAGGCTGATGGGTCTCCTAGCCACGCCCAGGGCATCGCCTGCTCCTCCTTTCCCTGGCGCAGCTGAAAAGGAGGCAGGCTTCCATTCTGTGCAGACGCCTCCCTGTTCCCTTGTTAAGAAAACCAGAGTCAACTGCAGAACGGGCAGGCCAGGGGCAGGTGGACCCTCCCCACGGCTGTCCAGACTCCCCTCCATTTAGACTAGAGTAAAATGACATGTGGGGGCTACTAAGCCCCTTGCCGATGGTTGCCTTGGTGGGTGGATGCTCTGAGGGGTCCCGAGCAGCTTTTGCAGGAATGGGCCACATCCCCACAGCCCACTAGACCCCCCTCCCCTCCCCTCCCCTCCCCCCCGCTTCGTCTTTCCCTGTGAGAGGCTCACTGGGTCTTCTCCCTCCCTCTTCGGCCACAGTGCAATCCGGTGACCATCTACAGCAGCTCTTACGGCGCCCACCCCCACTTCTCTCAGCCCCGCCTGGCTCCTCACGCGGCCCAAGAGCTGCACACCAAGCACTACCCCAAGCCCATCTATTCCTACAGGTGAGTAAGAGTCCGGGGCCCACGACGCAGGGAGGGAACCCCCACTTTATCGGGAGAGGCCTTAAATGGGTGGAGTTGAGGTCCGGAAGCGCTGCAGGCAGCTGGGCAACTGACCCTTCGCTTCCCTCCGGCAGCTGCCTGATCGCCATGGCCCTGAAGAACAGCAAGACCGGCAGCCTCCCCGTGAGCGAGATCTACGGCTTCATGAAGGAACACTTCCCCTATTTTAAGGTGAGGAAGGCTGAGCACAACCGGGTGCAAGAGAGCGGCCCCTCAGCGGCCCTTCCCGAGCCCTCGGCGGAGGCACCGAGACCCACGGTGGGCAGACAGATGGAGGGATGTGTGTGCAGGAGAGTGTTGGCTGTCAAAAGCCCCCACTGAAGAACGGAGAAGGTCTCCACTGAGTAAGACCAGAGCTCCAGCTCACGGGGATCTTAGCTTTCTCACGACCTTAAATGCCTTTTTCTCAGGCAGACACGACAACTTGGCTCTACCTGCAGAAATGCAGACAGGAATCTCCATAGACAGACAGACAGGGGTCTCCTAATGATTCCCTCGTAGGCCAGACAAGCATCGAATCCACGTTTAGATCCACGGGTGAAGGGGGAGGAGGGTTTCTGGGGTCACAGCACACAGGGCAGGTTCTGGCCCCCACAGCAGGGGTGAAATCCAGCAGGTTCTGACAGGTTCTGGAGAACCGGTAGCGGACATTTTGAGTAGTTCGGAGAACTGACAAATACCACCTCTGGCTGGCCCCAGCATGGAGTGGGAATGGGGATTTTGCAGTATCCTTCCCCCAGGATTGGGGTGAGAATGGGGATTTTGCAGTATCCTTCCCCCAGGAGTGGGGTGGGAATGGGGATTTTGCAGTATTCTCCCCTTGCCACGCGCACCAAGCCACGCCCACAGAACCGGTAGGGAAAAAATTTGGATTTCGCCACTGCATGAAAGATTATGAGGTTAATGTTTTGTCAGAGAAGACCCCGACCTGGGGGCTCTAAGCCGCATGCATGTGCTGGGGGCGCGTGTGAGGGCTCCCCTGCTTTTCACAGACGGCCCCCGACGGCTGGAAGAACTCCGTGCGGCACAACCTGTCCCTGAACAAGTGCTTCGAGAAAGTGGAGAACAAGGCGAGCAGCTCCTCGCGCAAGGGCTGCCTCTGGGCCCTCAACCCTGCCAAGATAGACAAGATGGAGGAGGAGATGCAGAAGTGGAAGCGGAAGGACCTGGCTGCCATTCACAGGAGCATGGCAAACCCAGGTAAGGGCAGCCCTCCTCTGCCTTCCTACAGGAGTTATTTGACCGGAAGGAAAACTGGGGGGAAGGCCCTCTCAAAAAGCAGCCCTCCTTTTTCTCAGGGCTTCCTTGGCCTTCTGAAAATGGTGGCGGTACAGCTAGTCCTTGACTTACAACCACAACCGAGCAACACAGTTTTTCTGTTGCTAAGTGAGACATTTGTTAAGTGAGTTTTGCCTCATTGTATGACCTTTGTGAATTTGGCTTCCCCATTGATTTTGCTCGCCAGAAGGTCACAAAAGGGGATTAAGTGACTCCGGGACACTGCGTCCGTCATAAATATGAGTCGGTTGCTAAACGTCTGGATTTTGATCGTGTGACTGTGGGGATGCTGCAACGGTCATAAGTGTGAAAAACAGTTGTAAGTCAGTTTTTTCCATGCCGTTCGAAGGGTCACTAAACCAACTGTCGTAAGACAAGGACCACCTGTATTGCATTAAAAAAAAACCCGCCATGCAAATGACTGTTGTCACCACCTTTCCTTCCGCCTGCCCAGCGAGGAAGTTGAGACAGCCATTTTTCTTTGCAGAGGAACTGGACAAGCTGATCACCGACCGCCCTGCCGGCTGCAGGAGGCCTGGCAAGCTGGCGGAGGCCGAAGCGTCCATGGGCAGCCATGGGGGCCACCTGCTGCAGGTGCAGCCCCAGGCGATGGCGACACTCTCCTTGCAGTCCGTCCGGCTTCACCGGCAGATCCAGCCCCAGGCGTGCTTGGCCCCAGACTCGCCGGCCCCTGCACAGACGCCCCCCCTTCACGCTCTGCCCAGCGTCCACCACAGCCCTCTCCCTCAGCACCTGGTGAGCCGGGGCTCCGATTTTCTCAACGTGATGACGGACCTGAACACGGAGGTGGATGCCCTCGATCCCAGCATTATGGACTTTGCGCTCCAAGGTAAAAGGTTGGAGGGGCTGAAACTAGAGGGTTTTTTTTAAATCCGGCAGCTGAGTCAAGCTGTGGGGAGGGGTCCTCACCCGCAGGAATCCTTGCCTCCATCTATCTTCCAGCTGCTTTTGCAGAAGGAAACAGTGGCGGTGTAGACGGCTTTTCTACCTGAAGGTCTTTTTAAGGGCTGGTCCAGAAAATGTGATTATGGAGGGAAATATTCTGGCACTAACATTACGATTTCCTTTTGTTCCTCTTACATGCACCTGGTTAGGGGTACCTGGGGGAGAGGCTAGGCTTAAATCTTCAGGTACTGATATGGTCCGACCTTAATTGCTCACGTCAAGATGACGACTGAAGCATTTGACCCAGGGTGCAAGATCCTGCAACCAGCCACAAAGCCGCTTTGGGAAAAAACAAACCACATTTTTCTCCTTTTCTCCGGAAAGCCAAACAGCAGGGGAGGAAAAGAGGGGAGTCTGGAAGCGGAAAACGCCCTTGTCTGTCCCACAGCTAAAATGCTCTGAGCAGATTTGCACAATTAAGTCCCATCTGACCACTATTTCCTTTGTGTGGCAGGGAACCTTTGGGAGGAGAAGGAGGACGACAGCTTCAACCTGGATGCCTTGGGGGCCTTCAGCAACTCTCCCCTGGCGCTCTCCGACTGCGACCTGGCGCCTGCCAGCCTGCCCCCTGCCCCCTGTGCCAGCGACCACTCCTTTGCAGACTTACAGGTGACGGGTCTGTACACAACCTATGCCACGCTGGATGCCGTCTCCCCCACACAGTACCGGAGCCCTCAAGGGAACAAACCCATCGCTCTGCTCTGAAAGCCCCACGACGCTTGGACTGGGCCACCTTGTCCTGCTCGCACTCCCTTCTCCTCTTCCTCCACCCCCCCCGACAAATGAGTGCCAGGCCTTGTGGGGGCCACGCTGAGTGTGCGCAGACCAGTCCTCCTCCATTTTCAGCCCATCAACCAATGTTGTACCTTATGGTCTCGAGAACGCTAATCGAAAGCAGACCGCAGGCATAGGACGAAGCCCGCCTTTTATTAAGGAATCTGGTGGGAGTGAGCAGCTTTGACACAGACCTGATTTTGTTACCCGACTGGTAGGAAGCATGCAGCTTGCTTCTCCATCAAAACCTAGATAAAATTTTAATTTATTGTAGGGGTTTTGGAGATAGGGGGAGAGAAGGCAGCAAGGGGGAAAAAAGGAGCTATTCTCAGAACAGCTAAATCAAAAGGGAATACAAAATTTAAATTAACTTGATCCAAAGGAGGAAATACACACTCTCCTCCCCATGTGCTCATAATTGCCCTTTATTTAGGTGCCTGATGGCCTCTGAGCTACTGTATTTTTCGGAGTATAAGACACTCCGGACTATAAAACCTTTTTTGGTGAGGAAAACAAGAAAAAGCAAGCTGCCTCCTAGCAATTTTGCCTCGTTGCAGCAAACAGCAAATAGCCTACTTTACTTTCATTTTCGTTTTCAGCATAGCTTGAGTAGCACAAGAAAAAAAAAATCTGCTCCCAGCAATTTACCTCCTTGCAGGGAGCAGCAGAGGCCCTCGCAGCAATAGGCAATGTCAATCCCTGCAGCCTGAAACAGCTGAGAGTCAGAAGGCCGATCCAAGGAACAATCAATTTGTGCTAATTAGGCTGTGCTGAAGCTGAAATTCTGCTTCCTGCTTGCTGCAAGGAGGTAAATTGCTGGGAGGCAGAGGCCAAAGGGTGGGGGCCAGTGAGTGGGCGGGGCTCCCCATTCGGTGTATAAAACGCACCCAAATTTTCATCCCCTTTTAGGGGGGGAAAAAGGTGCATCTTATACGCCGAAAAATACGGTAATCAAAGCACCCATTGCTCAGTGTCCCTATCAGAAGATGGTTTCTTGCGCTTTAGATCAGCCGGCCCCTTCCTTTTACTGCTTTCACAGGGACACTTGGGGTGTGTGTGTGAGGGGGGCTTGGTCTTGGCTATGCCCCTGACTTTGTGTCTTTGTTAAGCTCTTACTTGTTCTCTCTTCCTACTGGTAAGTACTGTGAAATAGTTCCGAGCCCCTTTAAACTCCAGTTGCTGATCGCTGCTGCTCTTCCTCCAGAGGTACTTCGGGATCTTTTCTTCAGATTCACACCTGAATTGTCTACCTCCCAAAATCATCTTTCCAGGCCTCGGACGTTCTGCGCGAGAGATAAATTTTAGTCCCAGACATACTGACTCAGTCCGTCTTCCCTCGCAGGAGCTGAATCCTGCAAACCATTAACCCGGTTTGGTGCTTTGACAGCAAAGATTTCAGACTGTGAGAAGGGGATGTTTTTAATAGCTAGAGCAGAAAAGGGCCTGGGCTCCAGGACAAATAATGTACTAAATGAGATTTTTTAAAAAAACCTTGAATAGATTATTAGGATTGAGTTTACCACAGATTTTTGAGGAAAAAAAATTACTAGAGTTTAGGATTAGGAGGTCTGTTGATTCTCGGGCTAAGCAGTATTACTGTTTGTAAATTTTATTTATAATTTATTTTTATGAAAACAAAAAGGGGATTTTTATGCTCAGCACTGACTTTTGAAAAACACTGTAATATTTTTTTACCTAATTATTCAAACTGCAGCAAACTGTTTTAAAAATCACCAAGATACTTTGGACGTTTTTAAACTACACTTTCAAGAGAAGCACTTTGGATGTACTTACTGCAGACGTAACATTTTCTCTGAAAGATCAAACCTCGTTTCAGCCAGAAAACTTTTCTACAACGGACATAAAAAGGTTATTTTATTTTTGTTTGCAGCTCAGCCCTGAATGTTTACTTAGAAATATATCATGCAGCAATCTTTGTTTACTGTTTTGTTTTAAAAAGGACCACTAATAGGAGACGCTGCACACTGCAGTTAAGATCTTCTGACTTAGCATTTAGGCTATCAGTACCAGGTTAACTTTGATCTAATATTTATTTTTAAACACCTTTTTACTGTAGGATTTAAATAATCCCTTCTATTGCCTCAGAATTCCATTTGGAAAAAAAGAGGCCAAACAATATTGCTCAAGAAAATTGCACGTACAATTCAAGGTGCAAAGAACGGCCTCTTGACCCTCCAGGTAGCGCTGGAGATCTTAGCCAAGTGGCGCTGAGTTCCATTCTCTCCAGCAGAGCCCTCCTCTTCGCCCAAGGCCTTCCAAGTGAGCTGGAACCCTCTGCCGTCAGGGGCTGCAGCTCACACCACAACCTTCCCCAGGGGCCCAAAAGCTCCCCTGACGCACCCATGGAGACCCTTACCCGCAAGAAGGGTTGCAGGATAGTTCTGCTATAGCCTTCTCTTGCATTTTGGCAGAGATCAGGAACTGGCTATACCACATTGGCTTTTGCTCTGCCTGGGGGAAAAAACGGGGAAGAGTCCTACTGGCTTCTTAAAAGGTTACGACTCATTTGCATTTATAGAGGTTTACTCAGGCAGGGCCCTCCCTCCCTGAGGCCAATATGTACAGGCAGGGCTGGCTGAAGGGGAGAGGGTCCCCCTACCTCAGTTTGTCTAACGGCGCCCCCTCCTGCCAATGTGAAGATATGCATTCTTAGAGCAGCCTTTGTTTTGGGAAGAACGGCTGATGGTGGTGCCCCCTAAACCCCGGTGCCCCCTAGGCCAGTGCCTACGTGGCCTTAGCTTAAAGCTGGCCCTGAGGACTGGCTTGTAGCTTGGATCATTTGGAAGAAAGCAGTTCGGGTGTGACTCCGACCACATGACCTTCACAGGCTGTTCTTCAGGAACCCGTTTCACACAAATATTCCAGAGGTATCTCTTTCTTTTTTAAAAAAAGGTGAACATAAGACTACTTACAGACATTGTCATGCCAGAGGCGGCTAGAAAAGCAAAACGCAGGCAGAAGTTGAAATGGTTTATGAAAAACTTTCCCCTTGAAAATGTACTTTTAGTTCTGATGAATTGATGGGCTGATCATCCCATGATTTACTACGGTCAGCTTTGTATGGAAACAAACGACAATAAAGAGGGGTTACTGATAGAGACACACGGCTAAAAGGTGGCGGCGGCCTCCACACTGGCACATCAGATCTAGAGAGCAATTTTGCATCTTTCCTGGGGGGGGAGGGGGCGGGGGGGAGAATGAAGAAATACAACTGGGACCGTTAAGAAAACCAAGACTACTTTAATGAATCTCCAACTCACAAAAGATAAAACAAACGTTGAAGTCTATCAAAAGTCAAAGAGTTGTTCTTCTTAAAAAAAACAACAACTTTTTGGAGTGGCTTTTTGAGGCCTCCCTTCCCTGAGAATACAGATTTATGAACAGCTCTCCCAAAGAGAAAATGCAAGATTTTGTTAAGTGATTCCTCTTCCCCTGAAAAAGGAGTTTATAACCCTATTTTCTTTTTTTTTTTTTTTTTTTTTGGGGGGGGGAGCCCCGTCCCATACCAGACGCACTCAAGCATTAATGCCAGAGGTAGAGAGACAATCCCACTCCCATGAAGGATTAGTAGACCTGCCAAGAACTCCGGCCTGCAAAGATATGCCGGACAATGTAAATTACCTTCAGCTGTCACCTCCTTTGTCCCAGGTCTCCTTCAGAAAAGACTGGGTGTGCGTGTGTGCGTGTGTGTGTGTGCGTGTTAAAGTGTTTTGTGCATCTGATGTTTCACAGCCCATTATACTTTCGGCCTGCTGATAATTTATCTCTTTAAAAGTGTGTTTTGATTGTTTTCGCCTCTGGCAAAGTCCACTCATTCCACAAATAAATAGCACCACTATCTCCATTTATATCACATCTACCGGACATCTCAGCCAGTTAGGAATGAGGATGGAGCCCCCTCCCCTTTCCTTCTGAAGAAACAATAAGGGGGGACTTGTGACAGAACCCCAAATACCTTGCTTGTAGGGGAGTGGAGCGAACCTTTTGTTTTCACCTTTCCAAGAGAGAAAGGGAGAAGCTCCTTCCTAAGGCCGACAGTCAGAAATGCCCCCCTTCTCCAAGGCTTCCAGGGAGTGGGCAGGCTAATCTAGACAGCTGTGCTGGAGGGCAAAGCAGCCTCCTGTCTCTCTGGCCTATCAGGAAATTTTCCCAAGTATTGGCTGGGTGGTAGATACTGACATTTCCCACCCCTCACCCACCAATGCATATTTTAAAAAAAGCGTGTCCTGAGGGGTTTTGTGAAAGAGAATTCCTTATCTCAACAGATAACCCTGGGCAATAATTGAAAATGCACTTACTTTAAACATACATTCTAGACTGAGTGGTGCAAACATTTTCCTTGGACATTATGCGGTGGGCACACAGGCGGTTGGGGAAAATACAGGCCGCCGAGTGTGGCAGGAGAGCAGATCCTGGGAGCTGGGAGACTCTGGCCACCCTAATCCAGGACAAACCAGGGCCGTGCTGCAAAGCTGCAGCCAGACGGAGCTCACAAACTGGGATGGTTTACCACTGCCGTCTCCTTCCCTTTTCAGGGGGCTGGTAATCTCTCCTACTGCCAGGGGCACAAGTCAAGAGGGGGAAGGATTGTCCATAGTTGCCAGGAGGCGAACCACCTCAGCCCTCTGGGCGCTTGTGATGTGCTGGGTCATGTGAATGATACAGTCCATGGCAACCTCCGGGTTTGCCTCTATCAAGCTGGAAGAGATCATAAAGAGAGACTACAATGACCAGGATTGAATATAAAAAAGCCCCTTTTTCCTCTTCTGAATTTGTGAGACACAAACTCAACCGGTGGTTTTGCTCACTACTATTTCAAGAAGGAAGCAAAGGCTGCCGAATTGAAGCGAGAGGGTCAATAAAGAGGAGCATATAATACACTGAAACCGTCGCCTCCACAAACCAGAGTCCCCTGTGCAGGTGGAGTCCAGGGACCCAGAGTTCCCTCTCTCATCAGTAGCCTTTTAAGGGCCCTTTTGCCTATGGCCTCCTCTTCACATATTGCACAAGGAAGCAACGCAGGTGGCCTAAGCCTCGCCATCCCCAGAGAGCAAGGGTCATAGCACTTATCCTGCACTCTGGTTTAAGCAGAAAATGCAGAGTCTTTGATTTCTCCCAGCTCCAAGAAATGCCCTCAGGAGTTCCTGGGCCTCTTCCTAGGCCATCCCAACCGTTCAGCTCTGACACCCTGGAGGGAGCAATCCGTGGAGCCTCTCAGAGAAGCCCACTGCCACTCAAGAAGGAAACACTCACTTCCGGATATGTTTCAGGGCGTAATCGCGCTTCAGGTATCTGATGTTCTCCCGAATGGCCGACTTTGCCCCGTCCTCTTCACTCAGGTGCTTCTCAAGCCATGCCACCACCACCTGGTTGTTGTCCCACAGGTAACCCTGCAGGAGGGACAGAAGGGGAGAGCTGCACTCAGCCGGGAAGCAGAGATAGGTGAGAGAAGTCGGCTCCCGCCAACCAAGTCCCCGACCTTGACGGCGCCTTCGGTCTCCAGGAACCAGCGTCTCATCATGGACTGGATGTGGCTGTTGCTCAGCTCGCTGTGGGCACTCAGGATCTCGGCCTTGACCCCCTCCTCCAACAGCAGCCTCCGCAGCCGCCAGTAAAAAAAGGCACGGCTCTCCTTCCACTGAAGGATGTCCTGAAACGGAAGACCCCACTCAGGTCGCTTCAGGACGCAGCCCCTCCACACAGGACTCAGGTCTGCATAACCCATGGCCAACATCTCATGAAACCTCCTCAGGAGTTTCTGCCCCCGTCAAAGGTTCGAGGGGGGGGTGGAGAGGAAGAGCAGGTGGGTCACACAGAGATGGCGAAGGAGGCAGGTTCGACCCCGAAGTTCTGCCCCGCAGCTGCAGAGCTGCCCAGGGAGCCAAGAACAGCCCTGAGATCCCTGGGAGAGGATCACGGAAAGGAAGATCCCTCCCAGGATTCCAAGCTTGACTTCAGGCAGTCCTTGGCTTACAACAACTCTTTTAGTGACTGTTTGAAGTTACAACGGCACTGAAGAAAAAGGAACTTGTGACCAATTCTCACTTATGCCCATTGTAACATCCCCATGGTCAGGTGATCAAAATTCAGACAGCTGGCCACTGACTCGTATTTATGACGGTCGCCGTGTGCCAGGGTCTTGTGATCTCTTTTTGACAAGTGAAGTCTGTGGGGAAGCCAGACTCACTTCACAACCCTGTGGCTCAGTTTACACCTGCAGTGATTCACTTAACAACTGTGGCAAGGAAAATGGGGGAAAACTCACCGAACAAATGCCTTGCTCAGCAACAGACATGCGGGGCTCAATTGTGGTCATAAGTGGAGGATGCCTGCACTTACTGTGATCACTCCTTTCTCCTGCAACCTCCCCGGGGTGTCATGGAGGTCGGCAAAGTGCACGGCCGCCTGGTGGAAGACGGGCAGGAGGTCGTCCTCTCGCCTTTTCAGCTGCTTCTCCAATTCTTTGCGCTCCCCCTGGGAGAGATCTGGAGAACCTGCTCAGCCCAGAACACAGAAAGGACCGGTTGGAAGGGATCCAGTCTGGGAGGGAGGGAGGGAGTCCAGGAAGCCTGAGGCTTGTGGGAAGGAAGGAAGGCTGGAGAAGAGGAGGGAGGGCGTTCCCAGCTGAAGCTCTGCTCCCCCACTTTTCCAAAGGGCCCAGTGGCTGCAGATCAGCCGGCAACAGGGAAGGGAAAGTGGGGTGGGGGAGAGCTGGCCCGGCTTGGCCTTCCTCTTACTCAGCTGTTGCGCGATCCGCGCATAGGTAACATCGATCCTCCTCATGGTCTTCAGCAGCTCTTTCTTCCTGAACTTGATCTCCACGGTTCCTTCTGCTTCCAAGATGCCCCCCCTGCAAAGCAGAGCCCTTTGCAACTGGAGGCAGGCAAGGGAAGCGCCCCTCCTCTTGTGCTGACCGGTGCTGGACAGGTCAGAACAACCCTCCCCCTCCCCCCCGCACATGACCCCGGGGCTCTCTCCATACCTTGGGCCTCTAGAACCTCCAGCCAGCATTTCACAAGAGCCCAACAAGAATGGCTCCAACTGGGCCCCTTATTCAGTAGGCAAACTTAACAAGGAAAAAGTTGCTTTTGCAAGAAAAAAATGGAGATGCTTTCCTACTGAAACCCTAATCAACCCACAGACTATCTCAAGGTCTTCAGCAAAAGTAAAGACAGCCGTAGTTGTCACTCTAGCCAGAGTGAAACTCACAGATCAGGAGAAGTTTTGGACATCAGGCCAATTTCAGCAGCCCAGGATTGGCCACCTCAAGACATGACCACAAAGAAGGTGAGGATGCAGACGGACGCTCACCTGCTCTCTTTGTCTGCGTAGAGCTCCACGTGGAGAGGGTTGATGGTCGGGTCAATCACCACCCACGAGCCTCCCCGCAGCTCAGCGTGTGGGGGGATGTAGACGAGAGCCGGCTGCTTGAACTGCCGAACGCTGTCCACAATGTGCGCCCCAAACTTCAGCACCTGGTCGTACATGTCTGCAATCAGAGGCCGAGAAGTCACCACTCTCTCTCTCTCTCTCTCTCTCTCCCTCCCTCTCCCTTTCTCTCGTGGCCACTGACGTGACAAAGAGGGGTGGGGTGGGGGTGCAGGAAGGGCACCTTTCATGCCACCAGAGAAGCCCCTCCAGTTGGCGAAGATCAAGAGGGGAAGGTGCTCGCGGTCGAAGTCCCTGATGGCCTGGGCAGTTTTAAAAGCGGAGTCTGGGAACCAGACCTGCCCGGCTTGCTGGATGATCTAAGGAAGACAAAAAGGGTCATCCTCAATTAATGCACCAATCGGACGCAAGGCAAAAATATGCACTTGACACATTGCAGAGGGATGTGCCCATTTCACAGATGTTGCCCTTTTACTGAAGACAACAAGGTGATGTGGAAATGTACTTCTAGGAAGGCTGAGAAAAGCAAGATGGACAGATGGACAGATAAACTGAGGAGAAGCCCCGCGGGACAAAAGATTCTGAATTTTACAAGGCCCAACCTTTGCTTCTGATTCTGGGTTGGCTGGATCAGCTGGTATAGCCAGTTCCACTGTCCGGGCCTCCACAGCTATCACACCCACTGGGATTCCTCCCAGCCTGCCAAGATAAATCCGGACTTCAGGTTAGGGCTACATGGACTCAATGTAACCAGTCAATCAATAATATGCCATTATTTATTTCATAAGCATAGAGATGTTAACATTTTAAAACTTGGGAACAAAGATTTCGGGGGTGCTGAACTCTTTACCATGCCTTATAGGCAGACATGCATGATCCAGAGCAGGAAAGGAAGTTCCAGCTTACTTTAAGGTGCAAGGTCTATCATGCGGGGTCCCCTCCCTTCTCCCAATCGCTCCTCAGCCAGTCCCAACCCTTTGCCAATACCTGGCTCGACCAACTACCACAGTCTGGGCCCAGGGCTGCATGATCTCTGCAAATGATCCGTGATCAAAGAAACCACTTTGCCAAGATCCCTTCACAGCTGTACAACAAAACGGGGGGGGGGGGGGGCGGAGAAGGGAGATGTTGAGAAAATTCAATGCAAAGTCTTCTAAAGCCATGCAATTCTGTAACCTCTGCTGATCTATTAGGCAAAACTGGAGAATGTTCAGGAAGAAGAAAAGCCAAACATACTGTGGGGATCCACAAGGAAGGCCTCCTAAGATACTAAGCTACCCAGAGTTACCTTGTGGTAAGATGGGCAGCCAATAAATTTAATAAATAAATAAACCAGGTCACATCACTATCTCCAACTTTGCAGATGAGCTGCTCTTCTTCGTGTCTCTTCTTTCTTCCAGCCATGCTGGGTATCAATTTGTACAGTTTCCAACCAACAAAGACATCTTGGAGCTTCTCATCTCTACATGTTTATCTAGTCAAGTTTTATCTTTGTCAAAACCTACCTATAATTTGTTGAACCGAGCTAGTTTCCACCCCAGTGCTGGATTTTGCTCTCTAGCCCTCCCAACACGCTTCTTCCAGAAGAGCCGATACTCACTCGGATGGGGCCTCCCCGCCAGCATCCACCGGGGGTCGTAGGGGACTTTAGAAGGGACAAAGTCAATTTCTCTATCAATGGGGTCACTTGGAGGGATAACGGGCAACGGACTATGATGATCCTGCAAGAAGAAACATTTCTCAAAGCCAATTAAAAAAAAAAAAGACACAGAGCAGTGGTCAGGGAGGGACCAAGAAACAGGTTCTTTCAGCTATTTCTACAGTTCTGAAGAAATCTGATTGTGATATTAACAAGCAAAGGTAATTCATTCTTACCCAATTACAGAAGTTGCTTGTTTTTCTAGTAAGTTTGCTTAAGATTTTTTTTAAACAAAACCTGTGGCCCACTTAAACTGGGAAGGCCGTTGTGATGAAATAAAATAACTTTAATGTAAGATATTAGGCAAGGGATCCATAACAAAAAATTCCTCCCTCATTCTAAAGGCTTGGCACCATTGCTCTCACTATCTTCCAAGTTGGCAGCCTGGCATTCCTCCGCTGCTCTCCAGGTACCTTGGGCATGTAGGAGAGCCACTGGAGGATGGTGTAAACGCCTTCGAAGTCATCCGGGACGGCCACATGGGAGATACCGTTGTTGTGCATGATCTGCACTCCACCCAGCTGGTTGTTAGAGGTGTAGACTTCCCGGCCCAAGACCTGCCCCGAAGGAGGACAAAAAGGCCAATCAAAGCAGCGCTTTCCTCAAAGACTCCGAGCGCAGCTTCCTAGTGGTCACACCCTGGAGCTTTGGAAATTACTCAGCAGGACTCACGGTTCCAGCTCAGGGTCTGCAAACAAACATGGCTCTCGCCCCCCACACCTCCCCGTGGCTCTTGTTTTCTAAAGGACTTTTCTCAGGATAATCTAAACAGAAAACGCCGGAAGCCAAAACAAGCTCTCTTCCTACCTTATTCAGGGCGCTGGCCCCAGTCAAAATGATGTGGGAATTCTCCACCTGGATCACTCGCTGGCCGAGCCTCACCAGGTAAGCCCCAATCCCAATGGCTCGACAGGTGACCTGCGTACCAGAAGCAAAGGAGCCAATTTATGGCCGGGGAAGCAAAAGCTGTTATTCAGTTTAGAACAATGCATTTCTTCACCCAGCGTTACAACCAGAGGGATCCGCAACCGTACCACCAGTGGTGAAATCTGAACCGGTTTGCTACAGGTTTGCTGGCCGCGCATGTGCATTGTGCACCAAACGCACGCTAGGCGCGCATGCACAGTACACAGCAAAAGGAGGCGAGGGGGGGGGAATCACCTATGGCGCATGATCTTGGGAACCTTTTAAAAAACTTTTTAAAAGCATTTTTTACTACCGGTTCGGGCGAATAGGTAGTAAAAAAAATGCTTTAAAAAAGTAAAAAAAAGATTCCAACGATCACAGCTGTGCTGCATGATCGTCGGAACTTTTTTTTTTTTACATTTTTTTACTACCAGTTCAACGAACCAGTAGCATTTTTTTACTACCGGTTCGGGTGAAGCGGCCTGAATCAGTAGCATTTCACCCCTGCGTACCATGCTGATGGTGACAATTTGGTCATAGGCGAGAGAAGACTCCCCAGCGATGGTGGCCGACGCTCTTAGGTTCTCCACCCCGCAGCCTTCCTCTTTCCCAATTATATCAGTGATGATATACCTGCAGAAGACAAGAGCAAGCAGAAAGTTAGTATCACACACATACACAGAGCTTGGTCCCCTGGGGCCCCCAGGAGAGAAAGCCTGAAAGGAGGAGACATTTGCTCACCTGGACTCACCAGCCTCTTCCACATGCCTGCAGTGAACAGAATTCATGGAGCTGATCCTCGTGTAATCCTGAGGTGTTAAGTACAGGTACTTGAATCCCTTTGGGAAAGAGTGGGGGGGGCAGGATTAGCTGGATAAATTTGGTGCACAAGACTGCTAAGAAGCCTTTAGAGAAGCATACAATTCAATCGTTTTGGTGGTCTTCCTCAAACAGGAACAAGGAACTGGGGAAAAGATTGTTCTTGTTTCCCTCTCAGGTTTGGGGCAGTGGGTCCTTCTCTGCTCTCCCACCATCAGAGGAGTTTGAGGAACCACAGCCTCTCTTGCTTCTGGTTATTGGTTAAGAAGTTGCTTCATGCCTGCCTGCCTGTCTGCCATTATGCCTTCAGACATGAAGGACGAGGCCCTGGAAATGTCAAGGAACACTCTCTCCCTAGACAACGAGGCTCAGCTTGAGCAACGAAGGTGTCTCCTCATCTTCCCAAGGGGAGATTCAGCCACGATGGAATCCCCCTGGGTCCCACAATACTCCACATACCTTGTAGGGATCTGCTGGGTCTATCCAGCCTATCTGGAACTTGCTCTTGATCTCGTCAGCAAACCCGATGCGGGCACCACTGTTGGCTGCAATGTAGACCCGTGGGATGCCCTCCGCACGGGCCAGCTCCGATGCCCGCAGGAAAAGGAGATCCTCGGCAGGCCCAAAGGACCCGATCTTGTAGGTGATGTCGTTGCTGATGAGCACAATGTCACGGCCCTTGGGGTACTCGGGGGTCTTCAGCTTCATTTTGAAGGCCACCATTCCGATCTGGCAGGGGGAGGAGGAAAGAGGAGCTGATCAATCTGCATTTCTTAATCTGGAGGATGTTCTACCATTTTGCCACTGAATCCTCTTTAACAGAGGCCTGCAGCAAACCAGCTTAAACAGAAGAACAAAGGCAGGCAGCCCCTCAGTTTGCAAGGACACCCAGCTGTCTCAAACCTCCCTGGCGATCCCCCCTCCTCTCTCAAGCTTCGGTTTGTCTTAATCTCAGCGCTTACCTCATTTCCTCCCGGCAGCCTGTTCAGCTGCACCATCTTCCCCTGGGCATCCAGCACCAGTTCCGTGTAAGTCAGCACATCGGTGGGGTTGACGTCCTCAGTGGATCCCCACTGCTTGAACAGAGCCTGAGAAGGAGAAGGAAGCGTTCACAGCATCAGGGGGATTCTTAGGGGCAGACACAGCTCAAGGGAGTGGAGAGAAGGACATTTCCTGGACTCTGGAGGATGAGAAGTGGGCTCTCCATCAAGAGACCCAGTTCTCCCCATTCCATTGGCACGGAGCCTCTTTGGGAGAGATTTGGAAGAGACACCTCTGCCCATTGGGTACCCATTTGCTTTTCCTAATATTTCTGGAGAGGCAGGTCTATAGGTGGGCTTTCTCTCCAGATGAACTGGGCTATTGTAGTCCAATTTTGTGGGAGACACTTGCTTCAAGAAAACATTTCCCAATATTCAGTGTGTGTGTGTGTCTGTCCATCCGTCTTTTAATTTAAAAATCTGCAGCAACTCTCAAATCAGAAGCTCCACTGAAGAGAGAAACTAGGACCCCCAATCCCTGCTCTGGAGCCTCTCGAGCATTAAGCCTGGAGCCTGTGCATAGTTATGGTGGAAGCCCAGTGAACAGCAGCGGCACTGAGCGTCTCTCTACCCAGGTGGCCGAACGAGCCAGGGGAGAGGAGCACCTTGAGCCACTGCCCAGCCCACCTGCCGGAACATCTCCAGGAAGTCGTAGACATAGGTGGTGCCCAGCGACTGGGCCTGGAAGCGCTTGGCCTGGAGCAGGTCCTTGGTGACGTAGGGCGTGTTGATCAGCATGCCGTGCATGGGCCCCTGATTCTCCCCGTAGGAGTTGAACATAATCTAGGTCAGGACACAAAGCAAAGAAAGGATCAGGCAGCCTCTCTCGGTTTAGGCAATTCGAGTCAGGCAAGAAGCAGCACTGAATTTTCACAAATGCACACCTAACTGTAGACTTTACACTCTGATCTGGAGGCGCTCTCCAGGTGCCTAGACCCTGAGCTCAGCATGGGGTGAAGTCTGCGCAGACCCGAAGCACCCGGGGGTGGTGGTGGGCTCAGTTGGGAAATAGACTTCTGGAGGACCACCCACTCCTGAGAGAAGAAGGGAAGCCAATCTGGGGGATGCATGAAGCGCTCAAGGGCTCGGGGGCACCTACGCTTCCTGTGCTGGGGTCGCTGACTTCCTTGTAGAGGCTGATATCCAGGTAGTATCCGGACTCGTCGGTGAGGAAGAGGCGGACGGGAACCGCTTGGGCTGTTGGCATCAGGCGGATGTTGATCTTCACTTCCGCTTGAAGGACTCGCAGCTTCCAGAGGCGGCTGCCGTACCGCATCACCATGGACCTCACAGACTCCTCGATCTGGGGGGTGGGGGCACCAAAATGAGGTCAGGAGGAGCTTCTTACTCTACAAGCACGGCGGGCTTTCTAGAGACAGAAGCCACGCAGACCTTGGATGGGTCCATCACAACGGTGGGGACAAAGTTGAGGAAGATGTGGTTGCAGTCGGTACGGACGCTGGTGTTGCTGGCGGCCACCTCCAGCTCGTCCATGGCTTCCAAGAGCAGCCGCTCGCCCTCGTTCTGCAGGTACTCGAAGGAGGCCTCCTGGATGGGAAGACGGAGGAGGCAGGAAAGGGAGAGAGAGAAAAAGGCTTGTCAATGAGACAGGCAGAGAGGAGACCCTTCTCAGGATCCCGGAATGGGCTGCTGGGCTCCACAGGAAGTACCAAAAAAGGAGAATATTTGTAGCTCAGGGTTGGACTGAGGGTGTCCTCGGTGCTCTCTGAGCTTGGCTGTTTTCTTGCAGACCTTTCATGACCCAACTAGGTAACATCATCAGTGCCAGAAGGGAAGAGGATTTGCGGAGTGGAGAAGGAAGAGGAGGAGGTAAAAGAGGAAGAGGACGGGGGGGTCCTTGCTGCTCTCTGAGCTTGGCTGCAGACATTTCATTACCAAAACTACGAAATATCGTCAGTGCTAGTCGGCAACACCATCACTACACTGATGATGTTACCTGATGATGTTTGGGTCATGAAACGCCTGCAATAAAACCGCCAAGCTCGGAGAGCACCAACGGCCCCCCAGGAGCAGAAAGTGTCTCCCGGGACCCCCAAGGGCTGCCTGTAACTCAGCCCTAAACTCACCTTGGTGATCAGATCGGAGTGTCTGACAATGGCACGGATGAAGAACCTGTAGTCGGTGACTTCAGTGCCTTCATCCACCTTGGCAGCACCCAGGTAAAGGTGCATCTTGTGGTTGGCACATGGCACCGCGGTCAGGTCGAAGTTGCGCATGCGATTCAGCTCCAGCTGGAAAGCCAGCGCTGGCTCCAAGTGGCGATAGATGTGGTCTTCAGCAAACTGAGGAAGACGCAGCAAAAACATGTGGGATATAATGTTGCGGCTAAGGTTGTACCCACCGCAGGTTAAAACCAAGATCGGGTGTCACCCGGAGGATTAAACAGCCCCTCACCTCATCCCGAGCTCGGAAAGTGAAGAACTTTGGGAACTCCCTCTGCAAAAGAAGACAGAAGTTACCAGTGAGGAGAAAGAGCAGCAGCTGCCAACGTTTGCTTTTTAAACAGCAGTTAATTCCACCATGATTATCAACAGTCATGTATACACTTCCATATATATTTCATGTGTGCGTGTGTGTGTGTGTGTGTGTGTGTGATTCCACTGACCTGCCGGGTTATCAAAAACGTGATTCTTCGCAGCCCATAGTCAACAAGGATATTATTCTGTATGGGGAAAGAAGACGAGAAAAGACCAAACATCTGAATAATCTCAGGAAAGAAATATTATCAACTGCCCTCCTGTCACCAGGGCAAAAGAGGAACGAAATCAGGAAGGAGACTCGGATTAGATGAAGGCATTTTTGTCCGTATTCAGACAGGAGCTGAGCTGAGGATATGCAGCCCTGCTTGGATGTGGAGCAAAGGATTCAGAAGGTCAGCTTTTAAAGCGAGCAAATCAATAAATCAGCCCTTTATCTCAGCAAAGCCAGAGGCCAAGCCGCCCAGGGGAGGAAATCCAGGCTTTCGTGAGAACAGACCTTGGATTGAGCGAAGGCCCTGAAGATCGGCACCAACTCTTCATCCTCCTGGTGATCTGCCCACCGGATGGCCACGTTCAAGATGTGGATGGGCTCCTCCCGGACATTCTGGAAGCCACAAGCCCACACAGGGGTTAGGCCAGTGGTGAAATCCAAATTTTTTTACTACCAGTTCTGGGGACGTGGTTTGATGGGCATGGTGTGGCTTGGTGGGCGTGGCAGGGGAAGGATACTGCAAAATCTCCATTCCCTCCCCACTCCTGGGGGAAGGATATTGCAAAATCTCCATTCCCTCCCCACTCTAGTGCCAGCCAGAGGTGGTATTTACCAGTTCTCTGAACTGCTCAAAATTTCCGCTACCAGTTCTCCAGAACCTGTCAGAACCTGCTGGATTTCACCCCGGGATTAGGCCCAGCCGTAACCCAGCAGAGAGAAGCTGGCAGCTCAGAAACACTCACTTTGTTGTCGTCTTCATCGTAAAAGGTAGACCTGACTTCGCTGAAGAGGGGGCTCTCCTGCTCAGCAAAGCAGGAAATAACTTCATCGAAATTCCAAGCAGGCAAACGGAAGAGAGGCTGGAGGTGAGAAGACAAACAAACAAAGATGACATCTGGGAACAGAACATCTTGCTACTGAGGAACCAAATCTAATCCTGCAAGGGCATCTCAGCTTCCAGAACCGAAAAGGCTACAACTTCCACCTTGGGAACTCTGTATCTGCAGCGACAGAGTGAACCAGATTTATATTTTCCAAAAATGTTCCTTTTCTGCTTCCCCTCACACACACGCAGCCCCAAGTAACTCCTTCTTCCAAGGTGAACTGCCGCTCATCCAAATGGAGAACAAGTCAAGAGGCCTCAGAAATAATAAAGGTGGGATTTAAATTTTTTAAAAAAGAAAGGTAAAGTGGGAAAAAAGTGAGGGAGAAAAGATCAAAGCACCCTCCCTGGGGGAGAGCATGGAGGACCTCTTTGCCTCCAACTCCTGACAGGCCCAGCTTGCATGGCCAATACTTAAGCATAACGGGAACAGCAATGCAGTGATTCACACACACACACACACACACACACGAGGCCTGGGACAATGCTTGCTTCTCTCCCAGGTGGCCACCTACCGGGTGAAATCGTCAAATCTGTCAAAGGCCACCATGGCTCCCATTCTCTGGCAGAGAGGGGAAAAGCCGCTGTCCATGAAAAGCTCCGTGCTGTGCCGGACCAAATCTGGGTTGGAGATGCTGACTGGCACGGACATTCTGGGGGGAGGGGAGGGGAAACATCAGACGGAGCACTGATTTGTGGACCTGTTGCTTCCAAGGGCAGCTTGACACTGTGCAGCCACCCAGCTGGAGCCGATACCAGCCCGAAGGCCATGAGGAACGGACAGTTTCCTTTTCAAAAGGCTTTAAAAAAAAAAAGGTTGCCTTTTTGCCACAAGGGGCCCCTTTGCCTTCTCCATCACCCACTTGTTACGTGGGCCCAGCACGGTGTTTTGCCCCCACATGCCCCTCAGACAGAAAGTTAGTAGCCAATCCAAAGGGCTTTGAGCGGGGCAGTTAAGAGAAAAGTCAAGGAGGCAGTTATGGCGGAGCTGAGCTTTGGGGTAACTGTTATCATGCTGCAGAGCCAAAAGAACTCCACGCTACCTGCTCAGGGTGGGGCTGCTTCCTCTGAAAAGAGACAGGAACACCAATAGCTCCCTTGCTCTGAGGCAGAACCACCGGGACCCCTCGGCCTTCCCCCACTCTCAGGCTTGCAAAGCAGAGACCTTCCCCAGGCAGACCCTCTCCCACTGCTCCTCTCCCCCCCCATAAAGGCTTAGGGACATTTGCCCCACCTGTTTGGGTGTGAGGAAGGCAGCATGAACTGGAACTCAACCACGCAGGTGCCGTCCAGCAACTGGCGGTGCTGCAGGCTGTTCAGCTCGTAGGCAATGTAGGCCCTCCTCACATATACCTGGAAAGGCAAAAGGAAGCAGGACACTCGCAGGTTTGTGGCCGAGGTACCCTTGCATGATTTTCTCCCAGCACAGAACTTATGGCAGCGATCTGCACTCAGCAGCTCCATGGCAAAATAAAGGCCATCTTTTCTGTGAAACGGCCCCCCTCCGCCCACTGCCCCACCCTCGGTCACAGCGAAGTCACCGAAGCCTCCCAATCCCCTCCTTACCTCCAGGGCCGCCATGCGTACCACCTGGTTGGCGTGATAGAAGAAGGTGGGCAAGACATCGAAGATGGTGGTTTCCGAAAGAATGAGTTTCTGTAAAAGAAGACGGAGTGAGCAGGTGTTGCTCGGACCTCAGGAGTCCCGGGGAATGGGATGTTCAAGAAGTCACCTTTAGGTTTTCAGGACAGAACTGGTGCCCATACATGTCGATGGCAGAGAGAAAGATGGACTCCACCTGGTTGTGCCGCAGTTCGTAGGACGGCAAGTGGGAGGCAATCAGCACCTGGTGGCAAAGGAGGGCTGGGTTAATAGATTCCCCCCACCCCCCCAGGCAAGTCAGGGAGAGTCAGCCAGGATGATCGGCCACCCCTGACCTGGCGAGCCCGTAAGGCCACTTTGGCATGCTCCGTTTTGCTGAGCTGGGTGAGCTCGTTCAGGATGGCCATCAGCTCATCGGTCAAGGTCGGGTCTCGGCCACAAAGCTGGTCCTGGACAACAAAACAAAACCAACCTTCAGCTGTATCACTGCACTGGTCTTGTCTAATGGGGCAACAAAGGACCGCCTTCCCAGATCTTCCCGCTGGGTGGGCCCTGCAGCTCTGTGCCCAGATGGAAAAGGGGTGGCTGGAGGGAAGCTGAGCTCCTGCTCAGTTCAAGAAGCGGCTCCTTTTTCAACTCACAATCAACATGGTCACCAGGAGGTTCTTCTTGGCCACCTGGGCGTGGGAGAAAATGCATTCCAGGACGGGGGTCATGTTGGGCATGTGCTGCTCCCTCAGGATGATCACACATTTGTCGTAATGAGCTGGAGCACAAGCGGAAACCCAAGGAGGAGCGAGTTGCAGAGAAGGTGGTGCCGCCTTCTGGGGAAGCTCAGCCGGCACCCTCCTCCTCCACCTTACCTTGCTGGAACTGGGTCTCCACCTGCAAGTACCGCCTCAGCAGATCCAGCACCACCGATTTCATGTGGCCTCGGATGCCACTGCGATACCTGGAATGAGGGGCCGAGAGAGAAGATGGGATGCACGAGTCACTTGTAGGTCTTGGGAGCAGACGATGGAGAAAGAGGGGGAAGAGGGCCAGGGATGATTCACTGTCGTCATGTAAGATGTTTTGGGCACAATCTTTGTGACAAAAGCAGAAACTCTGCCCAGCTTGTTTACGGCAGGAGCCCTGGTGAAGAGAGTACCAATGCAGGAGACTCCATTCCACTTTTCAAATCACCTTCAGTGCTGCTACAAATGCTCAGGGCCTGCCTAGACCAGACCAGGCCAGATTCCAGGCAGGAAGATCAAATTGGCTGGTGCAACAAAACAGGCCACCTCTCCCTGCAGATGTTCAGGCAGGGAGTGTGGTGGTGTGATTGTCGCAAAGATGGAGGACCAACACACAAACCTACCTCTGAACCAACTGCACAATACTCTGGGTGTTCATGAAGAAGACTTCCCGGTCAGCTTTGCGTTGCAGGGTGGCTGCGTGGCTGTCCAAAATACTGGCAATCTTGAAAAGAAAGAGGGAACGATCCTTTATAGCTGTGTTCCTCAACCTGAGCAACTTTTAAGAGAGGTGGACTTCATTTCCCAGAATTCCCCAGCCAGTCGGTATCATCCATCTCCTGCTCATTCCTGCACCGTCGGCTTCTTGGCCGCAGCCCTCCCTCACCTGCTGGCTGGGGAACTGGCAGAGCACGGAGGTGACGTTGCTGGCGTACTGGGCCATCACTTTCCGGATGGACTTCTCCACAGAGATTGGAATCCGGCCCTGCGTGCTCGTCATGATCTCCTGCAGCTCCAGCAGGGGAAGGGAAGGATCCCGGAGGGTCCTCATCAGTTTATCCACCCATTCTTTGATCTGAGTTGGGGAAAAAGAAGGTTCAAGGATTCAGAGATCATGTGAATGAATCACAGAAAATGTAAGCAAGGGAGCTCTGGCCCTCCGCTGGTGCCAGACCACAGAAGAGGGCAGGGCAAGGGGCCTCCCTTCGGCTCAGGAGAATTGTGGGGGGGTCAGCAATGGGGACTGGCCGAAAGGAGGAAAACAAGATTTTCCCACATAAGCAGCTTCTTTTCTGGCTGATGGAGAGAAGCGAGCTTGTCTTTTCCTTCAGTCTCTTCTGCTGTAACCTGCACAAACTGGTTTAGGAGCCGCTCCCCCTGCCATCTTTCGCTGCCTTCCTCCTCCTCTTTGTCTTCCAAGGGCTTTCCTTGAAAGTCAGGAACATATCCTCAACAAGCCAGGATATCCCAAGCCAGATTTTTTCCAAACTTGATTTTTAACAGGCAAATGTTAAAACATACCTTGGCAGAGAAATAAGGCTCTGGCAAGCAATACCCGTTCATGACATTCTGCAAGTTCTCCAGCACGTTGTGGAAGACCTGGTGCAGCTTCTCGCCAAGGATGGGCAGGGGCGGTTGAGGGGAGAGCCCCCCCATGTACAACTGGGCCTGAGGGCAGCATTGGCAGGCAGAGAGGCAAAGCATAAAAATAAACAGAACTTTATAATCAGAAAATCCACCATTCAGCAGCTTCCTGTGATCCGGAAATGACTTCAAAGGAGTTCTAGCACGAGGCTGTTGCATTTGAATACACAAGAGAAAGGCTCACCACCACCACCCCCGGCAGCCCAGGCGCTTCTGGGGGTAAAGAGAAGCCCTGAAGAGATGCACTAGGCGGCCTCCTTGATCCATCCTGGGTGCCCCGCAAACACAGAGTGGCTCCCAGGCGGGTTTTGCTCTCTCTCCCCCAAATGGCTTCCAGCCGCTCCGTTACTCACCAGGTGAACTTTGGTGGGGTCGTCTAGCTCAAGCCGAGCTACCACGCAGCCCGCCTCTAACAACGTGCCCGGCCGTCTCACGTAGCGGATGATGCCCGACTCTTCCACTGTCAGGGATACCACCATCTTCATCACCTGTTTGGAGAGCAACGGACCTGCACATCTGGATGGTTTCCAAATGATCCCAACATGATCAATTATGCTTTGAGCATCCGGCAAGTGGACCAAAGTTACGCTGTCCAGGATGATGGTCTGAAGGAGGAAAAGGCTGAACCTGCTTGTCTCTTGACTGCCAGCCAGCTAACAGAGCCAGAACGCTCCCAAAATACACACATTAATGTTAGGAACCATTAGTGAGAATGTTGTGGTCCGCCAGTGGCCTGCGGAGCTGGCAGCAGAGTCGGACAGTGAGGAGGTTGGGGAGGAGCATGGGCCAGTCCTGGGAGTCTGGGGAAGGCTCAGACAAGGCTCTGCATCAGAGGAAGAGAAAGGGCCATCTGGGAGGTACCTCCAGAGTCGGACCTCAGGGAGGCAGAGGAACAGGGGGAGCTTGTTCCCAGTGCGCGCATGCACAGAGCTGCCAGAAGGTAAGAACAGTTAAAACAAAAGGGACAACTCGGGAGTAGGGCTGGGAGATGACTGGCCTCTCCCATAAGACTTAAAAGAGGCGTAAAGGCACATGAGCCTTTGCAGGAAGCAACATTGTTAATTCTGTGCAGTTTAAAGCCTGAAGCTCTGTTTGATTCTGGACTCCGTGTGGCTTTGCCAAGTAGGTCTTTGGCAGCGTGTCAAGAGAGATAAAAGTGGGTGATTATCAGCCTTATCCCGAAGGACTCTTTATTTTGGGACTGAACAGAATTCACAGCTGTTGCAATAAAAGAGATTTTTGGGACTACTCATGTGTTTTACTGACTCAGGAAACCTAGGTCAGAACAGGGAAACAGCCACTTTCCACGGTGAAAAATCCAGATTCCCCTCCCCCCCCGGTCGGTGCAAGAGTTACCTCCATTTCTGCATAGCTGTGACCCCCATAGATGTGACCCCCGTCCTCCACTGTATACTGCAGCAGCTTCCCTGCAGAGGGGGCCCGGAGCAAGGATTGATCTTTCTCTTTCTCAAAATCACAGCTTTTGTTGCCGATTGTGATGCGGTATCTGGAGGTCAGAAGCCAGAGGACGAAGAAGCAAATAAAAGAACATAAAATAAAAACCTGGTTGGATGTTGCCTCTCTGAGGAAGAGAGAGCCTCGGATTCTGCTTCTTTCAGCCGAGCTCATCAACTGGCTCCTTCCAAGGCCCCCTCGTTCCATCAAGAAAGGACTCTTAGCCAAGTAACCAACCGCAGAGATCAAGAAATGGTTGTGCAATGGAAGAAGTGTGTTTGTGAGGCCCGGGTGTGAGCGTTTGTGCATGTCGGGCAGGAGAGCCCTTTCATCACCTACCGGTCGGTTTCTTCTTTCATATAGGTGATGTAACTGTTGCCGTTGTAAGACAGGAGGAGCCCCCCGTCGTTCAGCCGGTGCACATCGATCTCAATGTGGGTGCCGTTCATTAGGATGACGTAGGTGGTCAGGGACTGACGGGCGACCTGTCAGAGGCCGCAGAAATCAGCCTTTTTTGCTTTCCTCCCAAGCATAAATGCCGATTGTTTTAATAACCAAAACAAAAGAGGGGGAAAGGGAGAGAGACAACTCCCTCCCTGTTCTATCCAAAAAGGATTTTTTCCCATTTCAGCCCACAGAAATTTGGGCCACAGCTACGGACCCCAAAGAACGCAGCACACACAAAGTCCGTACAAACCTTAGTTTACTAATTAAAGACTACTGATGAGCTTTCTTAGTAGTTGTTCGAACACAAGTACAATAAATCAGTCTTTTCTGAACACGGGCTGTTAATTTAACTTCATTTAACAGCCGACAAGAATTCAAAGAATAATAACTCAGTTCTGAGGCACAGTATTTCAGATAACCATAATCTTACTGTGGTTGGCAGAATGCCCAGAAGCAATTTGCAGGAAAACTGATAAGAAATAAGAGCCAAATCAAACATTTTCTGTAATCAAGGTCATCATCCTTCCTTAAATAGGCTAGGGGAGTGGCCAATTAGCCCCAAGCCTTACTCTCGAGGAGACCTCCTCCTGAGGAGCCACTCCTGCCTTTTCGCAGCTCTGCGTGCTCGTGCATCGAGAAGAGGCTCCTCCTCTTCTTCCTCTTCACTTAAGGGAGCTTCTGGAGGTTCTGAAGGCCCTGGCTGAATCCCCGCCTCTGGCACCACATCTTCTCCAGCCTCCTGATTGTCCGACTCGAGTGCCAACTGCACAGACTACTGGCGCAGCACCATACCAGCCTTCTCGCTGTCAGAATCAGCTACTAACTGCACAGGCCGCTGACGGGCCACAACACACACATACCTTAAGCACATATTTGGTGTCTTCGTAAATTAGTTCCACATCAACAATATTCAGGAGGGAGGCTGCTGGCAGAACTTGGCCCCTGAAAAACCAGCCAACGTTTTACACTTCTGGACCAAAAAGTGCCCTGACCCTTTCAGGTAATTGTCTGTTGAAGGTCAGAAAAAGTATTCCCAAATATGTTTAGAGGAATCACATCACATTCGTCCCCTCTAACTCTTTCCAAGAGACTGGAAGTGGCTTACAAACGTAACACCAGGTATTAGGTCCTAGGAAGGCAACCTTCCACAGAGCATCCCAGCACATCTTAATTCCTGAAACTGCACTGAATGCATTTCAAAGCATTTACACCTGTGCCCCCACCCCCAATAGAGACCTGCTGATGGCGCAATAAATTGCATGAAATGGCCAGGGGCTCGGATCCCAGGATGATCCTTTACCTCTCCAGCAAATGCAGAAAATCGTCCATGCAGGTCCTAAAGGTCCCATCTGCCACGTTAAGGGCACCACAGACCACAGCCAATATCGTGTCCGGTTTCTCTGCCTGCCAACGGAGGAAGAATTTGCTCAGTTTGGAAAACATCAACATACGAGGATGAGTCTTTCCATGCAAAACATGAGAGTAAATCCAAATAAAAACGTGGTTATCTAAAAACAGAAAATATGGGCTAGGGTCTTTTTTGAAAAAGAAGGTTCTAAGGATACAAGCAGCCATTCCTGAAAATCTGCCAAATTCTTTGCCACCTGCACTTTTTCAGCGATCAGATGATCGAGCCAGCTGGTGTCTGTCTCGTTCGTCTGGAAACTCTCGGTCTCCAACAACTTAATCAGGTATTCAACCGTCGTCCGGAAGTCCCCACGGATGGACAGCTCCTTTAAGGCGACCACCAAATTTCTGAAAGCAGACAAGCCAGATGCTTAAAGTCCCAACTTGCTCTGTTTCTCCCAATCCCAGGGGGGTGAAAATCACACCCCAGCAAAGGGAGGGGAGCTGACAGGATTAGGTTCCTTTTGGGATGTGTGACCATCCGTGCAATTGGCTCTTTTTAACAAAGCAGGTAGTAGAACGCAGGGGGTGGATGGGGTGGGCGAGTGCCCCATAAAAGGAGAGCCAATGGAGAGTCCCAAGGGCCTCCTGGGGAAGCCCCCACAAGGTTTCCACCACCCATGAAAACCTAAGGGAAGGCAATACTGACGAGATGGCCTCCTCGCGGTTCTCTCCCCAGGAGAAACAGTGTCCAAACTGCGAATCGGCAAATTCGTGCAAGCCACCCGCGGCTGCCACACTGAAGTATCCCCAGACATTCTTATTGCTCCGGAAATTCAGTTCTTGCACTGTGCCAGAGCTGGGCTTGAAACCCTGCAAGGTGCAGCAAGAGACAGGTGATGGTGGGGGAGGGGGCAGGAAAGGCAGACTTGCTCACCTTTGGCAGAATTGGGGCCACATCAAAGCTCTAAAGAGGCAGCCCTTGGCACTGCTCCAAGGCGGCTTCTGAGCAGGTAGAAAGTGAGATTACAATGTCCTCTCCCAGTCCGTTAGGACTGATGGTAAGAAATTGTCTCCTTCATGACCATTTAAACCCATGAAGCACCAGCATTTTCCTCCCTTTCAGGGGTCAGCTGTGATCAGGGTGGATAAAAATCAATGATTTTTTTAAAAAAATAAAAAAAAATCAGATTTTTTAATTTAAATTGGATTTTTTGATTTAAATCGGATTTTTTGATTTATATCGAATTTATTTTAATAAAAAACTTTTGGGGTAAAAATCTATCGTAAGATAGTTTTCTATTTAAGATACATAAATAATTTAGTTTATTCAGCATGAAATGGAGCTTAGTTATGTAGCATGAGGCTGTATATTCTGCAACATTGGGACTATCGGTGAGTCAACAGTGGGTCAAAGGAGTAGCAGAGATGACAGTTGCTCTTTAAAAATTATGATTTAAATGGAGTTGATTTAAATCAAGCCTTTTTACTAGTGATTTAAATCATGATTTAAATTGTGATTTAAATCAACTCAATTTAAATCAAATCCACCCTGGCTGGTGGGTGATTGCCCAATAGTTATTGGGTGATTGCCCAATAGTTTGATGATGCAACTGGAAGCAATTATTCAAACTCAATCCGCCTTGATTGGAAAATAAACAGTGGTCTTTTTTGTTGTGTCCCTTTACCTGTACTAGATATTTGCACTAAAGCTCTCAGCCATGCTCATTATTTTTAGCTATCAGTTGAAAAGAGTTACGGGGGAGAACATAGAAAAGAAAAGAAAGGCACAGAACAAATACTTTAAACAAATAAAAACCGGGAGGTTTGTTTACTATTTACAGTGCATGTTTTAGATCCTATCCTCTTACCCGGCAAGCTAGAGCCCACCCAACTATGCCCCCGCCCACCCCCAGCCTTTCTAGGCATTTGCACTGCTTAAAGAGAAGACATGAGAGATTTTTAACTCCACTGACTTCATCAGGATTTTCACTGGTGATTCGTGCTGCTATGACGTGGCCCCTAGGGACGGGAGCATTGCTGGGGCCCTCAAAAGCGATGGGATGGTCCCCCCATGGGGACTCTCCATAGAGAGCTCGGATGTCCTTTATTCTGTGCAACGGGACCCCCATGGCAATCTGAAAGGAGGAAAAGACAGAAACAGGCCGAGAAAAAATTGTTAGACGTCTCAGCGCTTCTTCTGAAGGGGCACATAGCTTTCTTTTGCAACATAAACTAAGCCCCTCTCTCTCCGACACACTTCAGAACAGCCGCTGGAGAAACTGACTTGAGAACAGGAATACCTGGAGCTGAGCAGCCGGTAAATTGACGTCAGCAATCATTTCTGTGCAAGGATGTTCCACCTGCAGGCGGGGATTCAGCTCAAGGAAGTGGAAGCTCCCTCCTTCACTATAGAGGTACTCCACCGTCCCGGCACTGACATAGCCCACCATTTTGGCAAGGCGCACAGCGCACTGCGGAGAAAAAATACAACACAGCCGGGTTAGAAATACGCAACTTCTTGGGACGTTATTCAAGTACAACGGCTCCCGAGGAGTGAGTGGTTGTGTTTCCAAGCAAAGCAGAGGATGTAATCTCAAAGAATTCATTACTATATGTGTAGACCATGTGCTACAGAGTCCCTGTAGGAGCTCTTTCTTTTTATGAATGTCACAACAGACACACAGTTGGAAAACCCTGAGGTACAAATATTCTCCATTAGTAGGAACCAAGAATGAAAAGACCTAGGTTCAAATCTCTGTCCTTGAGGCTCCCTTGGTTATTTTGGGCCGGTCAAGGTTTCCCGCCTTATAGCCCATTTAGAAGATTGCAAGGGGCTGGGAAATAAAGAGGAACCAGCATCTTCAGCCCCATGGAGAGAGAGAGCAGGAATAAAATAGACAAGCAGCATGGAGTGAAATGCTGCAATGGCCAAACTGCTCTCCATGTGGAGCGCTTGCTCTGGGGCTCCCTTCCAAGAAGTGACATCTGTGGTTGGTCTTTCTTCTCTGCTAGGACTTCGCACATGCGTACCTTCTCCATGTACTCAAAGACAGCCGGAGGAGCCACAGTGGCCGGGGCTTCCTCGATGATCTTCTGGTGCCTCCGCTGGATGGAGCAGTCCCGGCTGAACAAGGAAATGGCGTTCCCATACTGGTCAGCCAAGACTTGGACTTCAAGATGGCGGGCGTGCTGCAAGAACTTCATCACGAAGATGGGTGACCCAGGGACCTCGCTCTGCACCTATTGGACGAAGGGCAAGAAAATCAAACAAAGCGCCACGGTGCCTAGATCTTCCAAACAGCTGGCTAAAATCCAAGGAGTTATGCATTAGGACAGCAGTCTGGGCTGTAAGAGTACAAGGATAAAAACCCCTTAATTAATTCAAGTCAAACAATTGAATTCTCTCTCAGTGTGGATTTTAAAGGAAGCTGAGGGAAGAGGATTTCATAAACTATGACAAAGAACAGGCTGGTATTCCTTCTTTGGAGGAACACGGATACCTTAAAATGAGGGGAAATCTGGCCCTGGAAAGTCCCAGAACAGCTCCTCCTTTACCTGTCTGAAGCGGGCAGGGAACTCCTCCACCCCTTCCACGATTCGAATCCCTTTGCCGCCTCCCCCTTCGGAGGCCTTGACCATCACCGGGTAGCCGATTCTCTTGGCTGCCTGACAGTTGAGAGAAGGAAGAGACAGGAGGGGAGGAAGGAAGGAAGAATCAATGGGTGAAGAAGGCTCCTCTGGAATCCCACCCCCGAACTTCCCCTCAAAGGCCTTGTGCTGCCCAGACTGACTCGGCCTTCCTCAAAACGCGCCTGACCAGGCCTGCGCCAAAGCCGAAGGACATGCAACCTTGGCATTCAATGCAGAGAGGCATTGCCACCTGCTGAAATATGCAGGTCCATCAATAGCTGGATTATATGCTCGGCATAGATTACCTAAACTAGTAAGACAAAGTGGCACGAAGTCATGTGCTTAGCTGCCAACCGTTTCATAATGTCTGTAGCACTTTGCACAAATTCTAGGAACATGGGAACAGAGTAATCCTGAAAGGACAGGCTTCCATTACCCACTTATTAATTTGTACATATTTTAATCCTGCCTTTTATATTTTAAACTGCATGTGTCATATACATTATTTTAACTGTGATGCTTCTGACATGAATGAACAAACATTGCCATTTATTTGGTACTGTGTCCAGCCAGAAAAATAATGTTCGATGCTTAAAATTCCACATAAACCGAGATTTACACAGGATTGATTCTCTCCTTCCATGAAGGAGGCTAATGAATCTTTTAAAGAACAAAAATCTGCCTGGTCTGTTTCATTTTGCAGCCGATGCAGGATCCAACAGGAAGCCCAAAGGTAGGACAGCTTAATTCAGAAAACCTTCCTCCACGCATAGTTGCCTCAGCCTCTATCATTTTTCCTCTCTACTAATATTGTTATTAATAACACTAACTCATAAGAAGGCACCTGGGGTGCCTCCAGTTACCTCTAAGCCTTCTTCCACGTCCCGCACGCAGCCCCGCTGATAGGTTTCCAAGGGAACAGTGAGCGTCCCCACCTGCTGCTTCTCCTCCTGGATCCATTCAGCAACTAAGTCTAGAAAAAAAAATTACAACAAAACTTTAAGGGCAAGGGCTATTTCTTTATGATCGAAGCACAGGCTTCATCATGCCTCAGAATAATGCGAGGAATACATCAGAAGGCAGGAAAAGGGAGGAGATTCCTGTCATGCAGCCCTTTCTCTATCCTGTGAGATCTGGAGTGGCCAAGATGGAAATGGGCATCACAGCTGCAAGACCCCAGGTAAAAAGAGGGCACGGGACAGCAAGGCAGGGGGAAGTCCTCTTACCACTGCCACTCCACGGCAAGGTTGGAATGTGGATGGTCTGGGCCACGATGGTGGAAGCCACTTTGTCCCCCAAGGCCCACATGGCTTCAGTGGGTGGGCCTAGTAAACAGAGAAAAGAGGCTCAGCTGACATTTGGGGAAAACTCTATTTGGGAGAGGCCTCCCTGAGCTCGGCTGGAATGCTGGAGGCCCAGACAAAAGCAGAGAAGCTCAGCTATACATAGGCAGGATTAGAAAGAGTGACAGGGAGCTTGCTCACACCTGTTTTGTGAGCCAGGCATTTAACCTTGATTGCTCAAGGAGGTTCCTTGGGTCCAGTAGAAAAGCTAGCCTGGGTAGGCACTTTACAGATTTGTAAAAATTCTCTGCTCCAAAGAGGTAAAATTTGTTCCAGAAGAACAACAAGAACAAATTCTGGGAAAGAAGATCTATTTTTTTATTTAGCAAGAACAAACCATTTCAAGAGGTTGCATGGAAAACACATAAATTCAAGTTTGGCAATCATGCTTGGGGAAAGGTGAGTCTGTAGGTGGCAGAGAGTAACATTTTCTGTTCTATCTGGTGCTTAGCTGAAGGTGCCAACACAAACACACCTACCTAGGAAAGCAATCCCATGTTTCTGCAGCAACTCTGGAAGTTTGGGGTTTTCAGAGGCATGCCCCCAACCAGCCCAGACAGCCTAGAAGGAGAATTAAGTTTAAGTGATCCTTTGCCCCAGAGCCCAAAGGGATCCCTTTGGCAGTTCTATATTTTCATAAATTCCATTCTACTCATTATGTTTACATCCCGCTTTTCCTACCTGCTCTTTGCTACAGAATTCACAGCAGCCCAGGACAGACAGAAAACTTGGGTAATTACCTGCACGGGAATTCTTTTTGAGATATCCACGATCAGTTCTACATTGGCATAGTTGTTGTTATTGGTTCCTCCAGAGACGGGCACGTAGTGGTCTGCCATTTTGATGTATTCTAGAAGAGGAAGGGTTTTCAGCCAAAGGGTGAAGAGAGCCATCCGTAGCCCCGGGGAATTGGGAAGGCGGCCTCGGCTTGCCTACCTGCATTGGCTTTCAGGTCCTCAGGTGTCACCATCACCACAAACCGGATGGCCCGCTCATTCCGGAACATCTCGTACGCCCACCTGCGGATGGACCGCATGCACTTCACAGCCGCAATGCCGTTGTTGGCGATCAGGACCTGAGGTTGGGAAGAAGGCGTGCACAGGCCACTCATCTCTCCAGGAAGCGCACCAGATGAGAGAACCTTGAAACAGATTTGACTGGACAATCCAGCTCATTTTAGGCCAGGAGGTCTCCAGGGCTCGTTCCCAGCTCAGCCGTAGAACCCTTCAGCATTACCGCTGAGCTTCTGGAATATTTCCCTGGCTTTATATAAAGTTTCTTTATAAGTGCTGGGCGTTATATTGAAGAAATGTATTTAATAGGCAGCCATTCCGGCTGCATCACAATAGCCTAAGGGGAGCATTGCTTCTTCTTCAGCAGCCATACCTTTTCAATCACATGGTTTCCTCCAAAACGAGTCACAAATTCAGCAGGTGACGCCACCGTGAAGTCCCTGTGGAGGTCCAGTTTCTTCTGCTCCCGTCCTTTCTTCACCAGGTACATCCCTGACATGCTGGGCCTGGAAGGAGGCGGAAATAGTTCTATAAGACTCCATCCATAGCTTGAGTCTGTTCCTCAGGAAAGAATGCGAGATGGAGCTCAAATTACTTGGAAGCTGTTGTCGAGACTGCTGGAGAAGAGCAGTCAATTGGGGTGGGTGGGGCAGATGGAGGTAGGATAAGTTTCTTAATGAAGGTGAAATTGTTCCAGTAATTTGTGCCACCAACAGTCTTCTCCCTTCTGTGTGTCTTGCCCCTTGTTAAGCGCCTTCCTCCCACCTTTTCAGTTAACAGACTTTTGGTAAAAGGTGGCCCTTCTAACACAAAACACACACATCTTTTGAACCGCCCGTATGACTTCCTTCTAGAACAACCTTCAGTTAGGCTGCCAATCCTTCAAAAGCTCCGCATTTCAAACAGAGATAAGTGGATTAGGGCAGGCAAAAGTGACAAGAGGGTAGGAAGGAAGACTTCCCATGCTAAGCTTGCAAGATGGGCTTGTTTTCAAAATTGGGCTGTTTAGCTGAGGAACATTTCCTGGAAACATCACTAGAAAACAATCCCTGAAAACCTCATTCACAAGAAATTTGCTTCTGAAATTGTTTTGAGAAACTCTCCGCAAACAGTTGTGCATGTCTGTGGCGACTGAAGGACAAAAGGGCGTCTAAGCTTAGAGCTTTTGGAAACACCCGCCCAGGAAACGTTAGTTATTCCCTCCTTTCGGGAGCTGCTTTCTCTGCCCACCTTCCAGGAGGGGACGATTCTCAGCCCCCCCAATGACCATAAAGGAAGGAAGGGCCCCCAGCAGCTGCTGCTAGCATCTCCCCCTCCCTGCCCGACCTCTGCAAAGGAGCTGCCGCTGCCGGACTCTGCATGAGCTCTGAGAAAGGAACGTTTGTTTGGTTATCTCAAGCTGTCCCCTTTCTCCTTTCTGCTTAGGCTGCTCAGGAGCTGCCCAGACCTAAAGCATGTCAGAATCCTGCTGGCCGGTACTGACCTCCGGGGTGCTGTACTTAGTTCCGGTCTGCTGCTTCTTCCTCTCCTCTCCTGCGCTTTGGAACCCCCAGAGAGGTTCCTCTCCTCTCCTGCGCTTTGGAACCCCCAGAGAGGCAGGCAGGAGCAGAGTCGGAGGCCACCTCTTCCTCCTCCTCCTCCATTTCTGTGACTTCCCCCCTCCTCTTGGCTTCCCCTTCCCCCGTGGGCGAGGGGCCAGATACGACTCAGCCGCTCCCCAGCAGCACCCCCAGGTGGCTCAAGGGAGGAAAAACCTCCTGGTATAATCTAAACATCTGGCTGACTGGGTGACAGGCCATAAAAAACAACAATACTTGGGGTCTCCCCGATCACTGACTTAGTTATCAACTGGAAGTCTATCCTTGGCCCTTGATCCCAAGCAGCCTCTCGTGCTTAGACTGCTGATAAGCCTTCGTTATCAGCACTGTGGCTCATTTAATGGCACCAGGAATTGATCTGTTTTCTTTGTACTTTATGCCTTCATTGTACTGGCAAAGCTCTTTAAGAGAAATAAAAAGGAAGATATCAACGCGTAAAATAATATGTGGTGGATGTGAAAGGGACAGAATATATCCACAGTGGAAAGGACCAGCCGATAATTCTCTGCACTCTCGTCACAAGGATTTATGGCTTCCGGGATCTGAATATCCTCCTGCTCCTCACTATTTTGATTTGCGCATCAGGTTCCTGTACTTCAAAAAGCCGTTTAGAAAAGTGTTGGGAGCATTTCACAGAAATACCAGGCTGTTCCGGTTTTCATCCCAAGACCCGTCGCTGTAAGTCCTTAACTCCTGCACAAACAATTGCAGATCCAAGAGCCAGGCTCAAAGGATTTCTCTCGACACCCAACCGGAAATGAGGAGTCCTTCTAGCAGTCTTCCTCAGGTTGGTGCCCGAGGCATTTTGGCCTGGAACCTAAACCTAAACACAACTGCTGCAGACAGAGGGACAGCCCTGGCAGCCACGCTTTCCGGCTTCAGTACACCAAATATGGGAAGTTTGTAATACTTGAAACACGCGGGGTAAATTAGACGGATTAAAACAAAAGCCAAAGCGGGGGTTTGCTCCAGTGGGGAAATCCAATTTATTTTACTACCGGTTCTGTGGGCGTGGCTTGGTGGACATGGTTTGGCTTGGTGGGCGTGGCTTGGTGCGTGTGGCAGGGGAAGGATACTGCAAAACCTCCATTCCCACCCCATTCCTGGGGGAAGGATATTGCAAAATCCCCATTCCCACCCAACTCTGGGGCCAGCCAGAGGTGGCATTTGCCGGTTTTCCAAACTACTCAAAATTTCCGCTGCCGGTTCTCCAGAACCTGTCAGAACCTGCTGGTTTTCACCCCTGGTTTGCTCAGGTTACTGATTGTCGCCAGTCAGCTCCACAATTGATAGGGGTTTTTTGTTAGGGCAGGTAGAGGAAAAAGGACACTGCGCTAGGAGGAGACTCTATGGTGGGGGAACCGGACTTCCGGTCAGCTCCAGAATTGAACGGGGGGCTTCTGGAGAGGACCTTTGAGGCTCTTTGAGTGTTTAAGGTTAGGGTTAGGGTTAGAAAGTAGATCCTAGCAATCTAAAAAAGGGATTGCAGGACAGTGAGTGGCTTCAATCCAAATGCCTCCTGAAATAAGTGACATTTGACCAAATATTGGGAAATGAGAGAAAGCCCACCTTGGCCCTCCCTGAATTGGCTCCTCCCGGAGGTTCGGCGCAGAGGCCAAACCAGCCGCGTCACCACGTTGCCTACCTCATGATAAGGCTCGCTTCCGAGTTCACGGAGGAGGAAGAACCGAGATGGGCCAGGCTGCTCCGTCTCCTCCTGCTCCTCGGAAAGGCTCCTCCGGCTACAAGCTCCTCGTCCGAAGAATTGTCTTCAAAGGAGCCCAAGACAAACTTGGCCATGGCTTGCTGCTTCCTCCGGGCAGGGCTGTCGGCCTGCTCTTCAAAGGACAGGGAGTGCATTTGCTTCAAGAGCTGCGTTGAGGACACTCGGGCAAACCGGCTCAAAGGCCTGGCGGAATCAGCGGCCGGAGACAGCAGACAGTCCGAGGAAGAGCGGGGGATGGGGGGCTTGCGTTGGCAGGAGGGATCTGTGGGTATCTGGGTGCAGGGAAGGGGCTGGCTCGATGGGCTTGCAGGGGCCTGGCTGGGCTCTGAGGATACGGCTTCTGCCTCATCCCCCGGGAACTGTGGAAGGAACCTGCTGGAAGGCAGCTGCTGGACTTCTGGAGTGGTCAGCTGCTCCGGGACAGGCTGCTCAAGCTTCAGTTTTTTCAAACCAAGCGGAGGGCTTTTGGCCATCTTGGTCCAAACCAGCCACAGCCCAAGCACCAAGGCCACGAACACTAGCAGAACCATTCAGGAACCCTAGAAATAAGAGAAACAGCAGCACTCAGTTGGGGAAGGGATACTTGTGCCCACAGGGAGTCTGGGGACTCAGAATCAGGGCCTTGGATCCAAGAGGGCAGAGCAACTTTGTAGAAGAGAAGATGCCCCTCCCTCAAGCCAAAGAGACTGTTTTGACTCTGGGAGAAGCGGCACTACTGCGTGAGGCTCACAGCAAGCAGAATAGCGGTCCCCTAAACCTCCTGGCTTGCGGCTCATTGCTCTGACATATACTAACCTTTTCAATAATGGATCCACCACGAGCTTTCAAGGACTCAAACATCAATTCTTTCGCAACTCAGAGTGGAATTTTACCACTGAGTAAAGAGGCGGTGTGTAGAAATGGAGTGAGTCAGGTCTCCCACACAATTATGAAGCCCCACCAGCAACCTCTGCCTCTTCAGCTGCAGACTCGCATGCACCTCAGTGCCTCCCAGAAGTTCCACTTCCCCCAGGCCCAAAATTCCTGGCTGCCCAGGCAACTGCTCTTCCTAAAGCTATAAAGGAGCTTGCTATTTTTATCCTCCGCAAACAGTATCCAGGGCTGGCTGTGGTCCTGCCCCAAGACCCCAAATATGAAGACTTGGCCCACCAGGATCCAGCCTCTTTAGGCAAGACCCTCCCTCTGCTCCAGAAGACCCTTGCCTTCAATTCCAACATCTAGAGAAGTGACCTTTCTCCTACAGCCAAGACCAAGGAGTCAGTAACAACTTTTGTAACAACAATCAACAACCCACATTTTAAAGGACATACGAAGTCTTCTTCTTCTCTGCCCTTGATCAGGGTTGCTGGTTTCCATAGGTACTCAGGGTCTCAGTTCTCAATCACATGGCAGTCAAGGCCCATTTTCCCTCCAGCTTGCAGCATAGGAGCCAAATCATTCGCAACTGGTTCCCAATTTAAGGAGTAACTTACTTCCTTTTGACTGCTTATTTTAACACTGCTTAGCCCCAAATCCGACTAAACTGAATATGAATTTCCAAGAAAGGGATACAACTACGACCTCAGTTAAATCAAAACCTGAATCTTTGCTAATCGAGCAAATCTTTAGTATTTATTAAGAAGAGGGGAAGGAAATCCACATGATAGTAATAATTAAAAAAGAAAATAAGATGAATTTTCTGCCAACCTGTTTTAAATATAAATACTCTGAGAGCATCTCCTGTTCCATCAAAGCCATTTACAAAACTCACCAGAAGAACCCCAAAATTGAGAAGTTCCTTGGAGGAACAGCAGAGAGAGACTTACATTTGCTAAGTTCTGCATCTAATGAATTATCTAAAGCTGCTTTAACTAATTACAACTGCAATCTTTTCCAGCTTTCTCTAGTCCATTAATATACTTTCTAAAAAAAGATTCGCTTTCTGACAAGCAAATTAGCTTGGGCTCCTCAGCAGCTGGAAGTCCGGGAATGTGAAGATTAACTGGATCTTGCATGGACATGGACAGCCACACAACACACACAATTATTCGCATGTTAACATCCTTAGTGCTGAGCAAATTAGGCGCTTGGTGGTTCTGTCTATATATAACAAACAAAATGCACAGTTGCCAACAGCTCATGCAAAGTCTTGGTGAACAGAAACTTACCAATAAATAATAATGTTCCCAAATCAAAAACTTTATTACAGCCAGCAAGCTGATATAAAAGCTTCTGGCTGAGATGAAGTGCAATAGTGACATTAGGAAAGGGCAGCTCAAAGGAAGTCCTTTCTTTGCTGGTCACACCACCTAACATTGAAAGATTTTGGCTTTTGTGCTACTCACATCTCAACCTTAAATCCACCCAAAACGGAGCACGCCCGAATTCAAAGCTTCCCAGTCTGAAAGAAGATCACACCCTTGTGTTGTGTTTGTATGGAAATTTCTTTCTTGGCCCCGGGAGGCTGGAGCAGCGGGTGCCAGGTGGCAGGGCTCCATGGCATTCTGTGCCCGCCCAACAGGGCACTTTGACTTTAACTGGGGCAAAGTTCGCTCGCCAGGATAAAAACTGACAACTGCTTTGCACACCTCCAAAGGTTACTGGATACCACACACCGCACTGAATGTTGTAAACAACAACAACTTCCAGCATCTCCCGAAGGTGTGTTTGCTGCTGGCAAAGATAAACTGAAACAAAATTAAAAGTGTAGCGGACAGTACCGTTGTGTTTAAGATTACCTTTTCCTTTGCAAATAAACAACACAACACAACACACACAAACTTCAGTAGAGTTTGAAGGAAACCCTCCTTGTTTTCCTGCGCATCGTTTTTGCATTATTCAAAGCGGCAGCCAAGGCAGGAGGCGCCGCCCCCGCTTATTGTCTCCATCCTGTAAAGCCCCGCCGGCTGCCAGCCCGACCTCGCCCCCCCCCCCCCCCCCTCCCCCCGGGGCAAGGCCCACCTGCTCAGCCGGGCCGCTTCCCTCCGAAGCAAAGCTCCCGGGCGGAGGGCGCCGGCGGCCTCTTTGTCTGCAGGCGAGGCGGAGCCGCCCCGATAAAAGCCGTTCCAAGCAGGGCCGCTTGCAGGACGGGCCGGAGAAGCCGGCGGGCTCCTTGCACTTGCCGTCGCGGGCTGCAACGCGCTGCCTTCCGCTGGGACCTCCGCTCCACGCGCCCACGTGCAAAGCGCCGGGAGGGGCGCCGCACCGTAGCCGAGGGCTCTCAGCCCGCCCCACCCCCGCACTCCCCGGGGATCCAGCAGCCGCAGCCCGAGAGGCCCCCGCTGCAGGGGGAAGCAGCCGCTGGCTAAAAACCCATATTGCAAGTATTGCAAAGCCCATCATCCTATGCGGCCCCCCGCTTCCAGGGGGACAGAGCACAGCTGGCCTCTTTGAAGGGCTTGAAACCTCCCTTTGCCCAGAGACCCCCCCCCCCCCCGCTTTCCATCCCACCCCCTCCTCATTGGGCATGATCCATCCCCTGGCAGCCCCCCCCCCCCAAGAGAGTATCTTTGCCGCCCCCAGACTGAGAAACGCTGGAGTGCCTGCAAAGGAGTTTGAACCTTTTCCTAAAATACCATTTAAGGAAAGTCATCTTTCGAAAATGGGCATCACGGATTTCAAGTAAATATCAGAAACATTTATTTGAAAACTTTGGAACACGTCAATGTAGGGAACTAGTGTTACAGGAAAGATGTGGTTTTCTTTTTTTTTGAAAAAAGTGTCTTAAAATTGGTATTATAAATATACCAGCTGGAAGTTCTCCATATGCAATTTGCATACGAAACACAAGGCTTCTTCTTCTCACACACAGAAGCTGATGGGAGTTCAGCAACGGCTCCTGTGGGAATAACCTGCAACCGAGACGTTGGGCTAGGGCAGCATCGAAAAGGCACCTAAGTTTGGCAGAAGTGAGATACCCGAGGTTGGCGCCAGAACCGGCTTTCTTTCTGCACCAGACTGAGGACTGGCTGCACCCCAAGTGCGAAGCCTCGCAGGCCAATCAAGCCCTCATCTAAACACAAACTGGTTTCCTAGAAAACTTTTGGCTTGTAATTTTTAGCCAACTGCAGCTCTCCTTTCTGTACTACATAAGTAACATTTCCCACAGAATTCTGGCAATACTTTTAAATCTGGTCCCAAAAGTGGAATACATTCAAACTGTTGGTCCACTTCCTGCAAGTCAAACTACTAAAAATTATTTTTCATAGCACCTTTTGAAAGTCTTAAATCGTTGGCAGATTAAAAAAAAAGACCAAGTTGGGATAAGTAGATAAGGCTTCAAGTTTGGATGAAATAAGCAGCTTGCTGAATGAATTCTTCAGCAGAGGCAAAACAAAGAGACACCTTGTTGGCTGTCAATATTTCCATTTTCCTCTGAGAAGCATAAGAGAAGGAAAAACAAAAACCTCAGGGTCATGATTGCAAGGAAAAGATTGGCAGGAAGTTTTTGACAGTGATGAAGAATTTGAAGAAAAACAGGGCAGCGTTCTTTGGCTAATCTCCGTTTGCTCCAAAATTTTAAAAAATATACTTGGAATAAACACCATGACTCAGGTTAACCCTGAATTAAAAGTGAAAAGAATACTGTTTAGATCAGCTTCAACGAAACCCGTCCAAGAATATTTCTGCAGAGGCTCTCCAGCATGTTAGGGACAAAAATGGCTGCTCTTGTGGTCTCCAGGGAGTTTCAGGATCCTTACAGGGCCCTCCAGTCGATCAGCTGCTTCCCAGATTTCTTCAGGAATTCGTTCGTTTTGGAGAAATGCTTACAGCCAAAGAAACCCCTGTGCACAGAGAGGGGCGAGGGATGTGCTGTCTGTAGGACGTGGTGCCGTTTCTGCAAGAAGCCAGAGGCGTTAAGACTTCCCAGCCCCACACGCTTGAAGAACCGGCGTGATTTAAAGGCATAGATTAAGAAGCTAGCAGAGCCCAATTGTCCAGAATTAAGCAAAGAGATCCTATAAGCAGGCCACGTTTCTACTTCTATTGAGTTAGAATGTGGATTGAATTTTTTAAAAAGGAATAGTTTCATTGGCTAGATTCATCCACCCCTGCAAAGGTTTCATTTATTTTAATCCTCATTTGGTAGATAAGCTGTCTGAGCATTCCCATCATGGTAAGGCGCAAAGCATGATTAGGTTCATCATTTACTGCAAGCAAACAGCGTTATGGCCAAGTGTGGTAGCTCACTTAGATCTCCTTTTAAACAGCAGACAAGTGCTGTTGTCAAAAGCCAACCTACCCTGTCAATAGAGCTGCCCTTCTTCTGAGCATAAGCTCCCCACAGCATGAAGACCAGGCCGTCCAGGTTCTCGTTCAGCCAGGAGACCACGGCGTCTGTGAATTGCTCCCAGCCCCTCTCTCTGTGGGAATTGGCTTGATGAGCTCGGACTGTGAGGACAGCATTAAGCAGCAGCACACCTGGATTGTAAAAACAACAGCACGATGCCAGTAGTAGGAATGCTGGAATAAAGTCATTTTTGCTCCCATCAAAGCTGGATAATCAAGATCACTTCATATGCCCATCCAGGATGCAGCCTCCAAAATTGACGGGACAGAAGGGTGGAGCTAGAACTGTTTCCTCTCACGGCTTTCAAGCATAATTTTGTACCATTTCTATGGAGGCTTTATATAGTCCCTTAATACAAGAATTACAATTATTTTGTTCACTATGACAGGTTTTGCTACAAGCCTAGTTTGAAAGATGGCAGTTGATTTGATTACTTGCTTTGTGGTTTGTGAGAAACATGATTGTGAGAGGTTAGAAATAGTAATTAAAATACATATTTAGGGGAGACACATCAACCAGCCTGGATGATCTACAAAGGTGTGACCTTCAGTTTTCAGATCGGTCACAAAGGCTGGGTAACTCTAGCAACTGAAGCACAAATGCAGCAGAACCAAATGCAGCCTGAAAGCAATTGGGAAAAGAATGGCATTGGGTCACCTTGTTTAGCCCATCCAGTCAAATCTCCATGGCCAGGATGTGAAAAGCCTTCTATATCCACAGCAAGCTCTTTGTAAATATTTTCCAGGCTATAAAGAAAAACAAGTCTCAGAAGCACCACGTTTTCACACAATATATTCAGCAGTCAGCTGTTCCAAAGAATGCTATAAAACAAGACGGCACCCCTGGCCCTAACAGAACTACTGGGCCAGAGCTGAACCTTACCTGGGCGGAGGGGGAACTGGTCTCTGGACGCTGAAGCAGAGCCCATGAGCTTGATTGGGCCCGTGATATGGATCTTGGCCCAAAATGACAACTTTCACCTGAAAGCAAGAGCAGAAAACATTTGAACACTCCACATCCGTTATTCCTATTCTCAAACAATTTTTTGTCTAGATTTATGCTTCTACTTGATGAGACGGAAAATTCTTTGCTCTTAGTAGTATTCCAAAAAGCAGCAAACGCCATTACATTGAACTTGGGAACTGGTTAGGGCGACAGGCAAAGTGCCTGGATTCACACGCTGCATTAAGCCAGGATTTGCTTAAATATGGATGACTAAAAAAAAAAAAAAAACCCCAGTGGCTACCTGTGTCGTATGAACTCAGCTAATAGCTAAGGGTAAACACCTGAAGATAACACTACCCATTCCTAAAGGAACAAGATGATAAACGCAGACTAATTATAATAGGTTGACTCACATCATGGATGTCACACAGCTGGGTCCAAGTGAAGACCTGATGCTGGGGTGGATAAACTGTACAGCGCTTGCGTTCTTCAGCAACGAATGTCATCAGCTGTATAAAGGGGGGGGGATTTATTTAGACCTCAACTAAGGAGATATCACATTCCATAACATGCACAGAAACAGTCTTTGCCCTGATGTTGTCCAGTACCCTCATCACAAATTTTGCTGGGCAGAATGTGGCTTCCAGGAGATGAATTATTGTGTCTCACTCAAGCAGTCCTCACAGATGTTATCAGAAGACGGCTGTTAAAATCTTCAACATCATTAAAAAAGGCCTACAAGCCAATTGCTTTAAAAAGCACCTGTCCCAGTGGTGTGGTAGCCTTTGAGGATGGACTGCTGAGATAAAAGCATTTGTCTAACCTTGTTATCAGCAGGAACAGGCTAAAATTCACTCCAATAATGCTAATTAACAAGCACCCCTTCTCTTTAATCAGCTGGACTAAGACCTAAAAGCAGGAAGGTGGGGGGAACACACCAATAAAAAACCCTGATCCTTTAGCAAAAGTCCTGGCTTCCTACCCACCTGAGTGAAATACGGCTTGGCGAACTCTCCGGCCAGGGAGACCCTCCAGCTCTGCCCCAGCTCCGCAGGAATGTAGCTAGCGGTACGGGCTGCGAGCTTCTGCAGTGCCGCCTCTTTGTTTTTGCGGATGCGCTCCACCTGTTCCGGGCTGAGCGGGGGAGATCGCGTGGAACAGCCATTAATCTTCGATCTTTTGGCGGCCTGCAAGAGGGAAAAGAAGCGGGTCAGGCGCAGGGAAAGGGAAGCAGGAAAGCGGCCGCGGGGAGAAAACCTAATTCCCAAGGCCGGTGCCATGGAGGCGAAGCAACCGCAGCCGCCTCTCCGACACTTCCGGCCCGGAGAAAAACGTGCGCATTTCGCGGGAAAAACAAACCCAGCATGCCGCCCAAGGGGGCGAGGGGGCTTTCCTATTGGTCTACGTCCATTGTTGCTTTTTTTCCCTTGACCCGCCCAGACCTTTAATTGGATTGCGGGTAGAAGATGGGTGGGATTACCCCTTAAAACCAATCAGGACCATTTCCAGCTAAATTCAGCCCCTCCCTAAAGCGTGAATTCTCGGTGGTTCACCGGGCCACGTGACCCGAAGCGGCCCCAGCGGCCCTCCCACTAAGAGCCTTCGGAGGCTTCTGATTGGTCGGTACCTCAGACAGCAATTTTTGCCTTTACTAGTAAAAACGTGGTAGTTGAATACATGCCCCGCTTCTCCCTCCGAATCCCCAGACTGCCTCCCGCATATAATAATAATAATAATAATAATAATAATAATAATAATAATAATAATAATAATAATAATAATAATAATAATAATAATAATAATAATAATTATTTAATTA